GAAGAAGGCGATACTGCCGAAACGTCAGCTAGCGTTGTATTGTATTGTGTTTTTATGGAAGTAAATGTATGCTGTTTAAAAACCTCGCGATTGCTGAACAAGAAAACGACACATTCATATTCCAATGCCGAGGTTAAGAGAAAGTCGATCCTGGGAACTTTTATTTACTGCCTTTTATTTCTTCATGGCAGGGTACTATTGTGAAATGTAGCCACAATGATGCTGAGATATTTGCAAAAATCGAACCCCAGGCCAGATTCGAACCAACGATCACACTTTACGGGAGCTTATGCATTAGCCACAGCATCAGCGACACTCTGACTTTCTATCAGCCACTTTTTTTTACTGAGCAGTAAATAAAAGTTAGAAAACTGAGATTTTGACTAAACCTTATGCTTTACTGGATTGAATGCCAATTCGTTTTCACCAGATCACTCCATTACCGAAGCTATGATAAAGTAAAAACATGACTAAGAGAAAATCAAAGCAATGGTTTCGGTTGGTGTGGTGGATAGCACGTGAAATAAGTGTAATCATGGGTCGGAGGCTGCTGTGCGACTCAGTTTTGCAAAATCTCAAACGCACTGTAATTTTTGAGTCATAAATTTTGAGATTTTCTGCAGCTCGTGAGGCAGTTTCTTTTCGGTGGTAGCTCAGCTTAAGCTATTGATGTCAACCATACCTGTGCTAAGGAACTTTAAAAACTATTTGCGCATTAAATCGTCAAAAGCTACTCTCTGGTTCATGGTCTTATGAGGTTTGAAGTTCGCGCTATTATGGAATATGCGTGCATGAACTCATGGCACAAAATGATACGAATGTGTTGCTGTAGGAACATAATTTCAAGCCAGGATTGTCTCTCTATTAACCTCGGCATTGGAATATGAATGTGTCGTTTTCTTGTTCAGCAATCGCGAGATTTTTAAACAGCATACATTTACTTCCATAAAAAACACAATACAATACAACGCCAGCTGACGTTTCGGCACTATCGCCTTCTTCAGAGCCTGGAAGGGTATGCTGATATACAATCTACTAGGCCAAACGCTTTATTAACACTTACAAAAAGACGAAAAACTCTATGGTAACCACATGACCAACAGCTTCTTGAAAAACTCACTGCTTTTTACGTGACTTCCATTGAGGAAGTTTAGAACAGCTGATTATAGTCGCATATGGTTGATGACTGCACCATCCCACATCAGAAATCGATGCTGCATACGGGGTCAGGTCGCGTATGACCTCTGGGCATTCATCCCTGCTATTCATTGTAGAGCTTCAGCATAATCAGCTGTTCTGAACTTCCTCATTGGAAGTCAAGTAAAAAGTGGTGAATTTTTCGAGAAGTTGTTGATCATGTAATTACCATAAAGTTTTTCGTCTTTTTGTAAGTGGTATTGAAGCGTTTGGCTTAGTAGATTGCTTATCAGCATACCCTTCCAGGCTCTGAAGAAGGCGATAGTGCCGAAACGTCAGCTAGTGTTGTATTGTATTGTGTTTCTCCATGGAAGTAAATGTATGCTCGTATGAAATGCTGAGATATTTGCAAAACTCCGGACCACAGGTGTATGCAGTGGAGAACGAACACGCGCTGTTGTCCTTACCGGGGAGCAGCGCACTTCACCACTACACCATCCGGGTCGGTCAGACTGACGCATTCATATTCCAATGCTGAGGTTAAGAGAAAGTCGATCCTGGGAACACGCGAAATGTTCGAAGACCGTAGTGAAGGATGAATATTGAATGCAAGGAGAACAAATCAAGTGAAAGACATGGTATGGTCCGCAGAGTAAGTGTGATCATGGGTCATGTAAGATAAAAAATAATGTGTGTTGAAAAATACCTTGACTGTTGCATGCTTAGAGAGCGGCTGGCGCAATGCTAGCTATGCCGATAGTCATGAACACAGTTCTGATTCGAACCCACTCCGGGCTCATCAAGCTTGTCATTTCTACGCCGTAGTGAAATTGGTACCAGACTTGTCTGGGAACAACTCATTCTGGCAGTCCAAGTAGGCACGCTTTAGTCCGGCTCTCCCAAGACTGCAAGGATTATTGATTCGGTAGGCGTTCAGCGACATACATAGAGGAAGACGACGATCTTCAAGCAGCAGCCGGACTCAAATGCAAAAAGTTCTAGAATCTTCGTGGATGTTCCAATTCAAGAAGTGCTAAAATCTGCGCAGTAGACGTGAAGAGCGGTCGTATGAAGCAATAAAGATATTTTCATACATAGCAGATGGCATTATCGTCTATAACTTTTATGGAATTAGAAATGATTTTTTGAAACTATGATCCGTCAAAATTACTACTGCACGAAAGCGTTGTTAGCGACAAAAGAAATCACCAGCGGGATTGCACGTCTTAAACATCTGTGCAGCTTCGGGAGAAAACATTACGAGCTGGTTTAGGAAGGTACTTGAAGAGCTTACTTAATCCGGAAATCCATAGTTTCATCTAGAATTTTTTCGTGCTTATGATACGTTGACAAAAACGTGTTGAATCTAGCGGTCTTCATTTCAGTTGGTAGACAAGAATTATTAAAAATTGAACAGCTTCAAATTCTCCGTCCAAATACGGAAATTTCATGTCTAAAACCCTAGATCCTGGATTATATATTTTTTTATTTTTTGTACGATCCGTCTTCACGTCTATTGTGACGATCCCAGTACTTCTCGCATTCTGTTCGTATCCAGGCATCCGTCATTCACTAGTGTCTTTAAACTTTTACATGTGGCTTCGGCTGCTACTTGAGGATTTTTATTTCATCTTAAATGTTGTAGAATCCTGGTGGAGTCAACTCTCACTAGAGCCCCAAGATAGCTGGGCTAGAGCGTCCTCACACTGATTGCAGAAAGGGAATTGTCTCAGACAAGACTAGTACCAATTTCCGGCCCGAGAGAAATAGGGAGCTTGGTGAGCCTGGAGCGGAGTCAGACCAGCACCGTGCTCGTAAGGGTCGGCATTACTACCACTCTGCTATCCTCCCTCTAGACTACACTTTGTATATCCAAAATGGTTTTCCAAGGATGGGTATACGTAGGACAACATTCGACCATGCATTAAGTCTAAGGTTACAGTGAGCGATGTCTTACCTTTTTCAGGTGCTCGTCCATCGTTCAATGGTAGAAGAGTTTGTGGCATCACTCCGTGAAAAGACATGTGCGATGCGTGTAGGAGATCCATTGGATGAAACTACCAGAGTCGGTGCCCATATATCGCGCAAACACATGGAAACCGTGAAAAAATACATCGATGGTAGGTTTTTTGGCCTTATATTTGTGAAAGATTTATTCTAGGTTATGTTAAGATTGTTCGATATTTTTCCAAACTGTCTTTTTGATTTCAGAATGCAAGTTATCAGTCATATATACGCAGCTTTGCCTCATGACCTTCGAACTGGGTTTCGATAACCGAGTAATGTCTTGCTTATACAAGTAGAACTTTTGGGACTTTTAAGCTTTTCTGGCTTTTAAGAAAATGAAAAATCCGTGCCATTTAAATTCTTCAGCATAGATTCGAACAGGTGGCAGAATTAAAGGGTAATAACTCCTACGTTCGACTTTCTATTAACCTCGGCATTGATTGAACAATTTTCTCTACTTCTGTTTAGCAAACACGAGGTGCTATTTTATTTCTTTATTTACGTACAAGCTGACGTTTCGGCGGATTTCGCCTTCCTCAGAGCCTGGAAAGGTCAAGTTGACAGCAATCTGTTCGGCCAAACACCTCCATAACCAAACAGAGAAAACGCTAAACCAAGATTTCACTCACATTTAACACAGCTCCGCATACTCACCGCTTTCTATGGGTCTTCCACTGAATATGTCGCGTAAAGACCAACCGCACAGAATTCACATGGAAGCGTAAAGTGCCCCTCCCAAGCTCTGAGGAAGGCGGAATCCGCCGTAACGTCGGCTTGTACGTAAACAAAGGAATAAAATAGCACCTCGTGTTTGCTAAAGGGTAATAGTTGTAGAATTCGGTGGATGAGCCAAAACAGTGTAGTAAAGTTCAAGAAGTTTGTACCAAGTCCACAAATATGCATATATTCTAGCGTTGTCGCGATGAAACAATCTTATGTGCTCCTTACTTTTAGTCATTTTCTTAAATTGGTCGCACTGATTTTATTAACTATAGACGGTATGTGGTCCATTAATAGTTACATTTTCTGGTAATACCTCTTATTACAAGATTCCCTTCAATTTCTGGGTAACCTTTTTCGAATGTGAGACATATTTTACTAATATAGCGTCAACGCGGTTCATAAAGCTGTGAAAGTGGGTGAATTTTTACGCTAACCTAATATTTTCATTCTCAACTGGGGATCGATTAAAAAACGTAAAGTTTCCGGGACCCTTTACTCGATTCATATATCACATGTCAATATTTAAGTTCTTTATTAAACGTCTAGTAGGAAAGTTTGGCACTCTTGTTGGCTTCGAATACGCGTTCATGATGTTCGATAGCAGATGCTGTATCTGCTGGTGCACGTTTGGTTTGCGGTGGTGAAATGGTGTCGGTTGCCGGACTTGAAAACGGTTTCTATCTCTCGCCCTGTGTTCTCTCTGACATCCGCAAAGACATGGCTGTTTACCGGTAAGCCACTGTAATACGTTTCAATTGCGGTCATCATATTCTATGCAGTAAAGTATATTTAAATAATTCCCAGGATCGACTTTCTACTAACCTCGGCACTGAATTACAAATTTGTCATTTTCTTTCTCAGCAATCGCGAGGTTGTCAAAAAGCATACGTTTACGTCCGTACAATAACACACATGTAACACAACCGTAGCTGACGTTTCGGCAGAATCGCCTTCTTCAGAGCCTAGGAGGGTACACTAATACGCAACCTAATAGGTCAAATGCTTCAATAACACATGCAGAAAGATGAGAATCGAAATGCTAGTCACACGATCAACAGCTTCTCGAAAAGCGCACCGTTTTTATGTGGCTTCCATTGAGGAAGAGCCGCTGATCAGCGTCGCATATGGTTGATGACTGCACCATCCTACATCAGAAATTGATGCGAACATACGAGTTCAGGTCGCGTATGACCTCTGGGCATTCCTCTCTGCTATTCATTGTAGGCTTTTTGACATTTATCCAAAAAGCCCCAAGAAGTTTTCGCGCTGGTGTTTTAGTCTCCTGTGCAAGGATATTGACTTTTACTTCAAAATCGTCTCCGCTATGCTTTTGTATCCTATGCGTGCCTAGTGGGGTACTTTGTCTTAGTTTTCGTTTGCCATCTTGGTGTTTTTTTGTATGGATATACAAAGGTCTGCCCGTTTCGCCAATATATTCATCTCCGCAATTATTACAAGAGATCGGGTATATCGTACCTGAACTCATGCAATCACCGTCTCTGCCGTAAAGGCAAGTTACGCAATTTGTTGTTCTACATAGACGGTCATACAGACGGTTAGGAACTAATTGACGACGTAGTGTAGCCGGTGGTATTTCAACTATCGCTACCGATCCCTCTAGACCTGCACTTCTTAAGTATCGTTTTATAGCTATACTTACTTCATCGCTAATAAACGGCAGCATAAACGGGACTTTCTTTTGGCCAAGTGTTTGATTTTGGGGCGTCGCTCTCATTTTAAACTTATCTCGTCGGGTTACTATTTTTCAATCATTGGAAATGGCTATTTACCAAGCGAAGTCGCCCGGTTCCTCCTTTAATTCTGTGTTCGTGCACACGGAGGTGGCTCTTCGAAACATGTTTCTCGCAATTGTTCTCGTCATGTGTGAAGGATGGGAAGAGAGGGAATGAACAAGGTAACAGTCAGACAGAGCTATTAAATAGGAGGGGTCCACTCCTCAGTCGACGAGCGCTGAACGAGTACATTAGCTTCGACACTGTCAAACGCTTCTTTTTAGTCGATAGAAGTCAAGCATCAATCAAGTGAATCAGTTTTAAGTACGCCAAGTAACAAAAACATCCAGGTTGATTTCCTCTCTTCCCACCCTTCACACACAAAGAGGGCACTCGTGAAAAACATATTTCGAACAGCCACCTCTGTGTGCACAACCAGTGAACTAAAGGAAGAATCTCTAATGGCTATGAAATAGTTACCGAACGAGATAAATTTGGAATGAGAGCGACGCGCCAAAGTGGAACACTTGGGCAAAAGAAAGTCCCGTTTATGTTGCCTTTATTAGCGATGAAGTAAGCGTAACTATTAAACGATGCTTAAGAAGGGCAGGTCTAGAGGAGCCGGTAGCCATAGTTGAAATACCACCGGGAACTCTACGTCGTCATTTAGTTTGTAACCGCCTGTATGGCCGTCTATGTGAAACTGAAAATTGCGTAATTTGCCTTTTTGGTAAGGACCGTGATTCCATGAGTTCATGTTGATTTCTTGCAATATTTGTGGAGATGAATATATTGACACGAAACGGACAAACCTTTATGTATCCGTATAAAAGAACACCTAGATGGCAAACGAAAACTAAGGCAAAGTACCCCACTAGGCACGCATAGTATACAAAAGCATAGCAGAGACGATTTTGAAGTAAAAGTCAATATCCTTGCACAGGAGACTAAAACACCAGCGCGAAAACTTTTCGGAGCTTTTTGGATTAATGCTAAAAACCCTACAATGAATAGCAGAGCGGAATGCCCACTGGTTATACGCGACCTGAACTCGTATGTTCGCATCAATTTCTGATGTAGGATGGTGCAGTCATCAACCAAATGCGACGCTGATCAGTGCCTCTTCCTCAGTGGAAGGCACATAAAAACGGTGCGTTTTTCGAGAAGCTGTTGACCGTTTGACTACCATTTAGATTCTCATCTTTCTGCAAGTGTTATTGAAGCGTTTGACCTAGTAAGTTGCGTATTAGTGTACCGTTCCAGGCTCTGAAGAAGGCGATTCTGCCGAAACGTCAGCTACGTTTGTGTTGTATGTCTGTTATTGTGCGGATGTAAACGTATGCTGTTTAACAACCTCGCGACTGCTTAGAAAGAAAAGGATAGATTTATATTCAAATAATTACTCAAGTGCAACGATGCTGAGGTATTTGCAAAACTCTGGACCGCAGATGTCTGCGGTGGGGAACGAACACGCTGTTACCCTTTACGAGGGCTAAAGCATCCGCCACCACACCATGCGACTCTTTCGTTTCACCTGCCTCTCCGGTCCTTTTCTATAGATCAGTGCCATCAGCAATCACCCGTCAACAGGATTGATCTGGGAAGCCGATATCGGCGTTGAACCCTTTTTATTTTCCGACTTTACAATTTTTGCGGCGGGATTTTGTGCGAAAAACAACCACAGCGATGCTGAGAAATAATTTCAACTACAGTCTCAGTTTACCTGGGTTCAATGCCGTTGTGGGCTTCCAAGCTCAATCCGGTTGACGGGTGATTGCTGATGACACTGATCGATAGAACTTCCTGAGAGACAAGCGAATCGAAGGATCTGCATAGTGTGGTTGTGAACGCGTTAGCCTCCGGAAGGGATAGTGGCGCGTTCGTTCCCCACCACGAACACTTGCGTTCCGGAGTTTTTGCAAATATCTCAACATCGTTGTGGTTCTATTTCGCATAATACCCTTTCGTGAAAATTGTAGAGGCAGAAAGCAAAGTGTCAACAAATCACTCATGCTTCGATCCAGATGGATTGCCAGATGTTTCCTACGTGCTGGTCTTTAATCTATAGTGGAAGGTTTTTCAATAACCCATCTGACTACGGCAAGCAAATCAGTTTGACATTTCATTCGGAAATGTGGTTAGGAGTTAACGAATGATAGGAATTTGAGCGGTTCCAAAGGAAATCAAGTTAGCTAATTCCCTTCTGCTCCGCAGAGGTCTGTAACAAACAAGTTTTTTTTTTGAAGAGATTTATAGATTTATTAGAGCTTAGGAAAAAACTCATGTGAATTGCTGGAAATTTACTAGGAAACCTGCAAATTGAGTTTTAACCTCGCCATAGATCAATAATGCAATTTTTGATAAGCAAATACGAAGTTAACAGCAAGGCTTATTCACTGCAATGTTGGCTGACTTTTCGGCGGCCTCGCCTTCTTCAGAATCTGGAAAAGTCAAATTGTTATGCAATCGACAGTCAAACACATTTGGAGAAAAAACTTGGTAAATAAATGTATGGCGCATGGTTTGACGCCGCGCTGCCGCATTTCGTGGTTGGCCGAACTGAATACGAACAATTGGCTGCGAATTTTCTAATTTTTTGACAGTAAGAAACAATTTTTCGATAACTGAAGTGCTATAGCGGTTTCGAACATGGTAGAATTGTAGAAGAGACTTTGCTCCATCTTTCTATGCGTGTAAAACATTTGTGTGCTACTATTATCTGTGTATTACAACGGTCTATATTGCATGTGCATTGCTGTCAGCACTTGGAAGTATTTCGTGGTTTATGTTCGTTCTATTTCGATATTTTCATTTCCTCACATTCTACACAATAACCATTAAGCTCAAAAAGTTCTTGGCGTTGATCAGTCGCTGAGGGATGCACTATGTAATCGAATTTCTTAACCATCGTTAGAGGTTATTCAATGTCTATATGGCTTGCACAATGACTCGCGGCAGCCTACCGATGTATCGAATGAATCGAGTGCTTCTATTATTCCAGACAACAGGTCTGTTACCAATTTATTGAACTCAGAGGGATGAATGGCTTGGTGAGCTTGGGTCGTGAGATCGAACCCATTTGTATTACAGTACGCTTCCGACCACTGGGCTACACACGCCCGACAATTACACAGTAAATTGTGAGTCAAATTGCCGGTCAGTGACCTTTTTGAAAGGTTTTTTGTAAGTTGTTATATGTAGAGAATGACTTTTCAAGTCTCACCGCTCCTATTTTGATATACTTTCAAGGCGCGTGTAGCACAGTGGTTGGAGGCACTTTGGAATACATACGGGATTGATCCTGACGCTGCAGTCCCATCAATCCTTCCATCCCAACAGCGTCGGTAGATTGGTACCAGACTTGTTTTGGAGGATAGCAGCAACGACTCGATACATCGGTGCGTCACTGCGGGTCATTCTAAAGGCCAGGTATACATTCATTCACTTCCAACGATACTTATTGAAGTCGAATGCATGGCGCATACTTCAAAAAATTGATCAACGCCGAGAGGTTCTTTTATGATCGTTTGGTCCAGATCGCTATGGACCCTATAGGGTCCATACGGGAAGTTATAGGTTAAAAATAAATCGCGTAATATAACTTAGCGTAATCTGAGATGTGTAGTTTCAGCGAGGAGATTTTTGGAGCCGTACTTCTAGTGATACCTTTCGATAGCGAAGATGAGGCAGTAAGTATTGCTAATGATACTACAATGGGTCTTGCTGCGGGACTTTTCACCAAGTGAGTTGGTTTGTAAGTTTTCTCATGGAGAGACTACATATAACGAAGTAAATTGCTTAGTTACTTACTTTTTTAATAGTCCGTCTTCACATGTCATAAACCTATCAGTATTTTGCGTTGGTACGTACCAAGAAAATGTGATATTTTTATCGGATTACGTGTTGCTCAGCTTAGTAATATTTGTTGCGATTCAACACAAGAAATCAACATTCTACTGCCTGTTATACTAGGTTCATTTACATTTTTTCTCTATAAAGCTTTCTTAAAAAATGTTAGTCCTCACCGAAGGGCGCGTGTAGTGCAATGGTTGAAGGCGCCAGTGCGACGACACACACGTGGAATCAATCTCCGCGCCCATGGCCCACCAAGCCTTCCATCCCTCCGGGATCGACAGATTGGTATGAAACTTGTCTATGAGGATAGTATCACTGGCTCGATACATCGGTAGGCCACCGTGAGTTATTTTAAAGGCGAGATATGCATTCAATCACTTCCAAATGAAGCTTAATGAAGTGGAATGCATGGCACATCCCTCAGTAATTGATCAACGCTGAGAGCTTTACCCTTTTTTATCCTCACAGAAAGTATTTTTCTGAGAGGTTATTACTTCCGATTACACACGTCACAAAGAGTCTTTTGTCTATCTCATAGACATCACATTACATTTAATGGAGTGTATGACTAGGAAAGCCATAAATATGGAAAGAGTGGTTGATTCATTCGAATAGTTTTTTAAGAATGTAAGAAAGTGCGCTATCTACTACACCACGAACATAAGTTGCTTTGGCGATATTTCATCTCACTTTCCCGTGCTCTTTACTGCGTGGTCATGGTTGACAAACGCCATATTATCGTTTCGTATTGCTCAAATATCTCTTTAATACCGAATTTCACTTTCTTTTCAATTTAAACTTGATCCTCTGCCCTTCATATGTACGTCGGTCTAACTTGGCAAACCTCTCATAAAACCAACTCAAAAACGAGGTCAGGCATTACTTCGGAAGTAGTTATTGCCACCTTCATAGCAAAAAAGGTTAAAATTTTTGGTACATCGCATGGCCGTGCGTTCCTGCTTCAGAAATGACTAGTACACTGCAAGCGTTGTGCGAACACTAGTTAATCCTCTCACAGGCATGTAAAACTTGGGAAATATGCTACAATTCCAGATTTCCACTGCAGTTCTTCGAGTCCTTGAAGTGAAACGAGAACAATTACAGAGTATTTAGCAATTGCGAATTGTAAAACCCTTTCTGTCATTATTTCGAAATCTTGTGATATAATGACATAGCCATTTTCGTTAAACAGCATTTTTAGCTTAACATCAATTTTTTAAGGACCAATCATTTGGCCAAATTTCTCTTTTTGATTTCATGGTCGCTACCGGACGTCAGCAGGTGAGACAACCGATGAGAGGCGATCAGATCTCGACTTGCAAAGGATGTCATTGGGAACGGACAAAACGAGCACATCTAAGACTCGCCATGGAAACTGCTCTTGCTGTGCACCTATAACGCCAAAATAGATGCCGACCTTTACGCTCTTCTTGAGACCACCGATCGCATAAAATTCCCTGTGATCGCCCTGAAGGAAATGAAAAGCAGGAAGACCGACATACGGTAGGATGACGGAACCCTTGTCATTCATGACGGGAAGTTTCCGTTGCGAAATGTGGAAGGAGCTGACTGTCGTACACCTATCTATTTCCCATCGTCAGCTCATACGAAACGCTATCACTCTGCTTGGCCATCCTTCGTGTCCAAATTGCGAGTCAGAAGAAAGTAAGTATCATCTTCCGTTAGTAAACAACTTGTACAGTTGATGAAAGCGAACTGGACGCCTTCTACAACAAGTTAAAGGAAGTAATCCACAACGAGACGTTCTTTTATTTATATTCATCGTTGAAGACTTCAATACCTGATTAAAAACGGTCAACGAAAATGAATAAGGGATAATGAAATTTGGAATAGTTGGATGAAATAAGAGTGGAAACCGTCTTGTAGGGAATGTTGCCTGCAGCACGTCTCTACCATTGAATTTAATTTTTCGAGAAGAGAAAATCACCAGTGGACAAGGGAGTCCCTTAGCGGTGCGACTCATGCGAAAATCAACCATAATCTCACGACCAGAAAATGGTGTCTGTTTGACTGCTTTCGTCGTTCAGTGAAAAACAAACAAGTCGTGTATGACAAGGATATTTTCATTAAAATCGTCTTCTCATATGACTGGTAGATAAACGAAGACCCGACTGAGTACTACACGGTCCTTGTCAAAGGTCTTAAAACATACCGAATTCGCCTGAGTCCCTTAAACAAGAATTGGGACCACATCTCCATCACCACTAAGGAACTGCTCAAAAAAGGAGAACACTGAAGCTTGATCCTACTGCAAGATACCTAACACGGCTGATAGTAAATGCCAGCTGTAGAAGATCCTTGCAGGAGGATTTACATCGGCACAGGTAGGAAAAGTTGTTGGAAGCAGCTCAAAACGATCCAGTCTCAACAAGTGCCGTCGGAATCTTTACGAATATGATGTTCTGCTATCCACCCTGATGAACGAAGATGGGACTATCACTACATTTCGCTATAATGTGGAATTCACAATGAAGATGTTGTATATCAATCTTACCCTCTATAATCCCCGTTTTGGATTCCGAAATCCCCACTAGTGAAAAACTGTCAGGGATTCTACCCTTTGAAGTTTGCAACAGAAGGTATGAAGGGAGGCACAGCTACTCGAAACGATAACACCACCACCGATTTCGTTGGAGCTGTTGGCAGCAAATTACATGTAACAACGACGACACCTTATACCAACCTCGCATAAGCTCAACAAGCGCAATTTGTAAGAAATTGCAAGTACTTCTTGCAACGCACTTGACGTCTTACCTTCAGAAAGGTAAAATCCCAAACCACTGAAGGGCCTCGCGAAAGTTCATCATATCCAAGAGTGGTGAGCGAAGGGATCTTCGTAGCTACCGTCCAGTATGCTTGTTGAGTATGCTCTACAAGCTATTCACGAAGGTTACTTTTTTGCGCATATCGAAGACCTTGGATAAGGCACAGCCAGTTTAATAGGCAGGATCCCGACAGGGATTCTGCTGCATGGACATCTGAACCCTATCATGGGTCACAGAAGTCCGTCGGGAGTACCACCAACCCCTTGTCCTAACCTTAATCGACGAAAAGAGATCGGACTGAGCATAAATCGGAAGAAGACCCAGTTCATGAAAAACCGGTGGTTCGACGGCGAAGAAATTGAACTAGATGCTTCTACAATTACAGAGACCTCTTCGTACGTACACCTTGGGCGATCAATAAACATAGAAACCCACATGAAGGTGGAACAAGACAGAATAAGGAGAGCAGCTTGGGCCGCATTCGGATCTCTTAGGGATGCCACCGACCAAATGAAGGACCTAAAAATCCACCTCACCTTCTCAACTCGACGGTCCACCCAGCGCTCTATTGCGCTGCAGAAACGTGGGCTGATACTTCAACCACGTCAAGAATAGAATACTCCGCACTACTCACACAGCGCATGAGCGATGTCTTCTGAAATATAGCCGGCACTTTCTAACTTATTATTTACTTCCTACTCTTTTTAACGGCAGGGTATATTGCGAAATATAACTTCAATGATGCTGAGATATTTGCAAAACACCAGACCACGGGTGTCTGTGGTGTGGAACGAACACGCTATTGTCCTTTCCGGGGTATAGTAACTATTCTTAAATAGTTCCTATTTCTATGTCGTCTTATGTCTTCTACAGCACCTGTCTATCTGTAATCGTCATACATCTATTCTTGCATATTCTGTAAATCGTCTCTTAGCAACCATTTCATGCAATTGCCTCGCAGGTGGCTGGAAAGGGAATCAGCAGCAGTCAGCTGAATGTACTTTTCAGCATCTGTCGTCCCAAAAAGTCTCCGAACAAACACCTGCACTCTTCCACATGTAGCCCTATCAAATTGTGCTGGTTGAAAAACTTTTAGAACCTCTATCTGGGCGCTGTCTTTAGTTCTCTCTGGCAAAGCTGTACTTACTACAGAAGTAATACAGGCAACCCATAGGACTCGTCCTGAAGTGTTAGCCGCGTTCGTCCGGTTTTCTTCCGGTCGCTCAATTCCTCAGTGCTCCAACTCCAGTGTCCGCTTTGCTTCCTTCAAGAGTGTATCACTTGTTCCCATTTTAATCCCGCTTTTATCCACCCAGCTTACATATCGTCAAATATCACACATTATTATTGTATCGTTATTGTTGCTATAAACTGTTATATCCAAACTAGAAGTTGTTAAAGACAGTTACAGAGAAAAGTTTCCCGTGGCGAATTCATACAAAGTTGAGCATTCCACGTAGAGTTGGTGGACAAAAGACCAATCCGACCAACTTCCTAATCCACTGGCCAACTAAGACATGGGGAGTTACGAGTTCACCACCGCACCATGCGTGTCCTTTGTTTCGCCTGTCTCTCAGCTAGTTGTATCAATTTGGACTCCCCAGATCAATCACGCTGACGAGTGATTGCTGGAGGCAAAAGATCGATAGAACTAGCTGAGAGACAGGCGAAACAAAGGATCCGCATGGTGTGGTGGTGAATGCGTTACTCCCTGGAAAGGACAATAGCGCGTTCGTTCCCTATCGCAGACACCCGCGGTCTGGAGTTTTGCAAATATCTCAGCATCATTGAAGTTATAACCGGCACTCTCAATATCTAGCCGGAATGTGAAGATCTGATCTTCGAAATCTGTCACATCTTCGGGATGTAGGAAAATATACATCGGAGATGAAACACATGGGTCGGTCACATAATAAGAAGAACAGATGAGAGATGGACGAAGAGAACAGTGCAGAAGACTCGAAAAGAATGCAAGCATTATTTTAAAAGGCCACCGAAACGATGGACTGATGTGTTCCAAGCTGGCGTTACCCATCTGCACTCGCAGATGGCAACGATCTCAGGAGTACGAAATGGGCTTCGCGGGTGTTACCATGTCTGGGAGCAGACCACCATGGACGACCACTGAGCGGAAAAGAAACGAATGGGAACTTTGCTGCGGCCTGTGCAGCCATTGAAGATGGGACATCCAATATCCAAGTAAGTAGGTTTTGATTCCTGGACGCCACCTAGTAATCCGGGAACACCGTATTCACGAAAAACTGCTATTTATGTGTAGTTCTTTGTCACGTATCCGTCGTTGAACTGGTCATTTACACAAGAAGGAAGCGAAGTATTAATAGTACTGCAATGACGAGTTTTAGAGACTTGGCACGAGCACATCGTGTTGTCGATCGTCTACATGCTGGGAATGTCTATGTCAATACCTTCAATGACGTTTGTAAGCGTCTTTTTTCCGTATTTCACTATATTTTAACAATTTATGCAAAGTTTACCTTTTTTGGGCAGTATCCATGATCTATCAGGAACCTAGATATTATGTTCAAATTTAAATATCGTATACATGTATATATACATATATATATATATATATATATATGTGAGACTTAGATGCCATACAAATGCATATGTATTTATATATACTTGATACTTGACTGGCCCATCCTCATTGGTTCTGTGGACCCCAGCATAATCTCCATTTTTCGGAGATTTGTTGGTTAAGCCATTATGGTTCCCTGGAGTCCTGAAGTCAGCCTGGCCAAAGGCTGCTCCAGGTCTTCACCACCACGGGCAGTTGCAGCCCTTATATTTATATATATATATATATATATATATATATATACATATATATGGGGCACGTGTAACGCAGTGGTTAGAGGCCCCCTGCAATTCGCAAGAGATCTATTCCCGCTCCCCAGGATCACCAACCCTTCCATCCGTCCACGGTTGGCAAATTCGTACCAGACTTCTCTGAGAGGGTAGCAGCACTGGTTCGGTACATCGGCAGGCCAGTGCAAGTCATTATAAAGCCCAGATATGCATTCAGTCGCCTCTAGCAATGCTTAATGAAGTCGAATGCATGGCGCATCCCTCAGGGATTGATCAGCGCCGAGAGCAATATCCTCTAGACGAAAGCACCAAAACTTTGGCCTTAACCAGCTTAGTCAGTATTCAGCATATTAATAATGACAATGGATCATCAAGGAGCGGTATAATTGCTCCCCTCCAGATACACACATCACGCGATCTCTAACACTCACATTCGGAAGGCCGCAAAACAACAGGTGTGCTGAAACATGTATGTCATGTCAAGGCTGCATCAATAAATAGAAAAGTAATGGTAGTAACCTACACCGAAAAGGACAACTGTACATCTCTAACCTAACGCAAATATCTCCCACACTCCTTCCCTCTCTCTCTCTCTCTCTCTTCTATCCCGCGCAAATGAGAATAGTGCTTTGGTTTTCGATGTATCTCCAAGATCGTTGACTTTTATGCTCCATTTTCTCTGCCATTGAATCAACAGTTGGAGGACGCTGAAAAACTCAACAAATGGGTGCCGAATAGTCTCAATGAAGTACATGGTTTCGTTTGGCAAAAATGAAGTTAGCCGTTGCTTTTTGGACAACTGTTTTTATTCTACTATTTACTAAATGACCCTACATATGTCCCACACTTTGCGGATCGCAGCGCTTGTTGCATTCGATTTGTTCCTTTGCTTCTACTATACGAAAATCCGGACTTTTTGCTTGTAGGTTCGGCTGCTGCATGACGATTCTTTTTCCATTTTTATCACTAATGTCGTTAAGAGTTGGTCGTCTGTTCTCCCTCGATTCCTCATGTCGTGCTTCTAGGGCGTTCTCACCTGCACTGGAGGAAGCGAGCTTGTCTCAGATAAGTCTGGCCCCAATTCCCGGACTCTGGAGGGATGAGAGACTTGACGGGATCGAACCAGCGCTGGGATAGATTTATCCACTTAGTATATCGGATAACTAGCAGTGCTTTAACTGCTCCCTTATTACTATATCAATCATTGAATAACTTTCGATAGAGCTACTCAGCGGGCTCCACATGCTCAGAGCACACAAAGGGCACTTCTCATTCTTGACACTTTCTCTTTTGCTTGTTATGAGGAAGTAACTATAGACAACCCGAAATAAACGTGGAACGTCTCTTTGTAGCTCTCTAGCCGAGCCCTCCAGCGCCCAGCTTTTCGCTCGAGTTTAGAACCTAATTCGCCATGTATGTACATCTAGTAGGTGTATGTCATGTGGTTTAGCTCCAAATCAACTCTTCATCTGAGGGATTAGTGGGCTGTATTTGTACGTCGATCCATCAATTTTACTTTGGATTTTGATTTTATGTTACCTTATCGATAAGGAACTGTACAACACCAATGTAACATAGGCCCATTTGTGATTTGATCAATTTCGATTGCAGCGCCATTTGTACCATTTGGTGGTTTTAATGATTCGGGTTTCGGACGTGAGAATGGCAAGGCAGCTATCGAGAACTACACGCAGATAAAATCAGTGTTTGTCTCCATAGCGCCGAAGCTCAAGAATCCATTCCAGTGAAGTAGTAGCAGTCACAGAAATCTCGCAAGTGGAAACATGTTTTTAATTGACGTGGTAGATGCTGACGTTCGTGTATGAAACTCCCCGTCTTAATACATTTTTTCACTTCGTGATCTGACCACCAAAGAGAAACAGAAAGTCGACAGAAACTTTTGTACTTATAGCGATGAACATCGATCACTGCCTTTAAAAATGACACAGATAAGATTGTGGTCTTATTTTGAACATATGTGTTTCATTTTGTGCTTGATTGCTGTTGCTTCTTAAAACTATTGTTTTCAAGTTGTAAGGTATTCTCTTGTCTGTTGTTAATTTTTTTCACTTAGCTTTTTCGAACATAACGAACAAGTAGCTTCTATTCTGTGTGGGTGGTTTATTACAAGTATAAGGCACATGTGAACATTAAATAAATAAACGACTTCGATAATAGGAAAAATGACAATGAAGAGATCAAGAGTAATAGTGATTTTGATAAGATGATTTCATATGAGATTATCTTTACGACAGATGGAAATGAAAGCAGAGTGAGCCCGAAAAGCTGCGACGGTAAAGAGGATGTGGAACCACTGAGTGTTAATTTTAAACAGAAACTACCAGATACCACCGAACTCATGAAAGTGGGAGAGCTTATACCCGCTATATCCATAGTTCACGAAGCGCTTTACTTTTGGAGTGTGTAAAATATACATAAAGTGAAGGATCGAAGTCCGTCTATCAATACTGACTACCAACACAGCAGGGCTTATCTGGCAGGTCCATTCAATCCTTCCTATCCTTTTTTGATGTGGTTGTACGAATGGTCGCACCTACTGATCACTCCAAACATAAGTAGGGGAACATTATCATTAATAAAGTAGGACCAGTGAACTGCGTATACATTTAATCCGATATTTCGTATTATTGCATATTTAAGAGTTTATTGAACCTAGTTGGAGGAAACAGCAACGAACAGTATATTATATCCATCTATCTATCTGAAACTAAAACCAAAGAAGATTATTTCTGAGCATGGTTGTCTCATTACGAGCAGTGTGAGATGATGCACGTTTTCTTACTTTGAGCAATATTGCGAAACAACTGAGAATTTCAATGTATAGGCAGTATGGAATAGGATTTGCGAAGTGAAATTTACCATCAGTTGGTAAGTTAGAAGATGAGCATTGTAGACGACATCTTTCAGGAAGCAGTAATATGGGGTAATGTCGCTATTTTGAGTGTGGAGAAGTTTGGTGCCAATAGTATTGCAATGTTCTAAACAAAAGCCTCATGGTTAGTAAAGCAGTAGACGCAGTGTGCTTGTATAAATTGAAGGTTAAGCGACTGATATTCGATTGAAAAAGCAAACAGTTGACGACCACTTGAGATATTTGCGTCACCTTAACTTTAGTTGCATCGTAGCACCTGATTCTACCTTGACCCTCGTTCTAAGTCAAGTAATTGATTTACCAAAACTCAGCACTTATGGAGGGTCCGGCCAGCAATCACTAAGCTGTGAGTTTGTAACATAGAAAGAAAAAATCAAAACCAAAGATTTGACAATGAGAAACCGGTATCAAACGTATGGAACAATCCTCGGTGTACGAATCATAAAATGTAGTAACATATGCTGTTGCTGTGGTAGTGATGGAATCACCCCAGTACAAAATAAGGTTGGTGAGAAAATCGTTGAGATGTTCTCCACACTCATTTTGTTTTGTGCGCTGTGATCTGCCACCTTAAAACGCATGCATACCTAAAAAAGGCTTAATAATCGAGAAAAAAATTTGAAACAGCTCACCTTGCGTAAGTGTATTAATAAGGCATTCAGAGTAAGGGCATTTGCTTCGGAAAGTTCCTCTAATGCTTTTCTGAAAAGAAAAAAATGGTACTTTTAATCATAGCAAGGCTTAAGGTATCGGATTCGTCTTTACTTTGCACTAGGGAATTAGTCGTAGTGTTATTTGTAGAACTGAGAAATTCAAGAAGTCTAGTAATTGCAACGTCACATTTTACCACTGGTTTGCAGTTAAAATAACATTGGAGCAAATGGTAAGAATTAATTTCGGAATTATTTTGTAATAACAACTTCTTTAAGGTACTCCTAATGTTTCACCAACCCCATTCACCCCTCCCCAACGTGGTTTGGAGCAGCTTGGATGTGCAACTGCAATGTACAGGGTACGGCAGCAGTTCTTCCCCCAGCAGTGTCTCCTATACGGAAAAAAGTTCGAAATCTCCATTCGGTAGCCCAGCTAACCGTAAATCAGTATCAGGAATTACTAAAATGATAGCAACAAAATATTTAATAGGTAGCAAATGCTGACGACCTCTGAAATCACTAGAATGACCTTCACGAGTTCAGAAAAAAACCTCGGTCAACCTGTGAATTACAACTCAAGGAAAATTATGTTGGATTTCGCATGATTTCTCTGACTTACGAAAAAGGGTTTTCAAATATTTAAAAATTTAAAACATATCGCCGGAGACGAATTGATAAAAAACATGCACAAATGAGGGGCAATGTGGACGAAATACTCTGAAGCCAATGCATTTCCTTTTATTTTGCCACACAGAGCTTTTTGCTATACTTTTTGCATTCAATCGGCGAGCTCATCCAACAAAGATAGATAGTGTGTCAAGCGTGGCAGAAGAAGGCTACGTTCTACAACCCGTTATTCATGAAGAACGCCAGCTGCTATAAGACTTAAATACTCAAACTGGACACTTGAGAATACTCTTCTGCTACGATAATATAGTAAATCATTGTACACATGTAATTGTAGTGTTGCTTGAGCAATTAATCAACGCCTAATTGTACGCAGTATGCCCTGTGAAATAAGTATAATTCATGCTTGCTAGTCTAACCCCTCTAGCCATTCCTTTTAACATTCCCAACTTTTTCATGTAGTTGAAAAAAAGCCGCTTGCCATTCTACTACGGTTCTGTCAATCTCTGATAGTCAGCCTTATAACAACATGTTGAGTACACTTTGTGCATTTTCGTGTACTTTCAAGATTCAACCATTCAATAAGATAAACACGACTCACCATAAGTACTGGAGATGAAGGAAATACTGATAATCTCGGAAGTTGGCAGACCGAATGAGAGGACAGGTATTCTGTGAAATCGAGGAAAGAAAGCCATATAAGGTGATACAGCGAAGAATATTCTAGATGATGCACCTATGTAGTACATAAAGTACCCACTTTCATGAGGCGCTATCATCATCCTTTTATTTCTTCGCAACACTTTTCTGTTTACTTAGCTTTCCTCTGCGTTAAGCACTTCTACGCCAGTATGTTTAATGTCCCACTGATCTAAGAACTACTTTTTTTCCATTAAGAGTGCAATGTAGATTTCTGTTCATTATTCTAAAAAAAAATGTTAGTGATCGTCAATTCATAACCTTGAAATACGTCGACGAGTGATGAAGCGAGCAAAGATTTCGATATGTTCCAGAGTGATTAAAAAACTGGATCCATTTAGGACAATTATGTGGAGAATCTCTTGTGATCCTCGTCGAAAACATAATGAGTTGGAGGATGGTGAGAAAAGTGATGGTGATAATAGTGGTCAAACCATTCATTACCTCATAACCGTGAGGTGGACTTCGAGAATAACAAATGAGCGCAAGGCCTTGGTTCGACCCCACCCTGGGCCAACCAAGTCCCCCATTTTTTCGGGTTCGAGAACTTGGTACCGACTTGGTTATTATCAGCTCGCCCCTCCAATCCACAAACAATAGCAATTAAGCTGCAATAAAAATCATAGCACGTCAAGGCACCGCTATTCCAGGATTAGAAGGAGAATCATCTTGACTAGCACTCAACAACATCCTTAAAGAAGAGCAAAAATTCTCGAAAACGAGATAAATCCACATGCAAATCCGAAGACCTTCCACGACGACAATTCGAAGAGATGAAACCAATGCACGAAATCCTAGCACCCACAAAATGTGTGATTTCAAGTCATGTAGAGCTAAAATTAAGCTTTGACCATGAAAAAAGCGAATAGATACTATCAAGAGAAGAATATGTCGTTGAAATCGAATATAGATTCGCTGTGTTGATTGTAGTAATAAATTACCACACACGTGGACAGTGATGGACATGTAACCTTTCCACTAAGTATTTTGTAGACGCCGAGTATGTATTTACAGTTCGTTAAATCTTTGATAAATTTACATCTATATGAGTCTCCTTAATAATTTACCAATTACTACGGCGAAAACGTATTTCTAAGTGACACACCTCAATTCACTGACAGCTTAGTAACCATCTCACAACAATTTACCACCGAAAGACAAATAATACGAGTAAGCTCATCCGAGAAACGCTTTCTGGCATATTACCAAATGTATATAACAGCCTTTCATGACCAACTTATGGTACACTGGCCTGTATTAGAAATAGCAGCGAATGAATATAAAAAGTACAACAAAAAATCTCTCTGTGGTGAAATAAACAGCCAGGAAGAAAAAACAAGTGAAAATCACTCACAACGGTCAACTTACCCCTCCACCTACGAATGGAAGTAATTCATCGATTAAATAACTGTAACTTAAATCAGGCTCCAAGTGTTAAAGGTGGAGTTTTCGGAATTAAAAGTTCCAAAATGAAGACTCGTTATTCCAAACATACCGGCATGCTCTAGTCTTTTCGTGCACACTACGCGCACTTGCAAAGGCCGCGAGAAGTGCCTTGTATACACTGAACGGGACGAGTTGTTGTGGCAACAGTCGTAAATAGAGCTTCAGAAGCCCGCAGATAGTATGAATGTCGTCCACCTAGATGTTCTTTTAATCAGATCAACAAACGTTGAAAGTCATTAAACAATATTGAAGATGTTATAATCTTTAATATTACTTAAAGCACAGAAAGAAACCCTAACATCTTTTGATATTTAAAAAGTAAACATGGTATTAATGCACCTGATTCAAATCAACAACTTGCTGTGAATCGAATTGCCTTTTTAGTTTCTCCATGTGATCATGAGATCCAGATACCCGGTAAATACCTTCCACATTGAGCCCACGCACTTCAACCTAAAAGGGATTAACTTTTCAAACAACAGCCATAGAAGATTCGTCTAGATGAAACTACAGTTAACAACACAAGAATTTTCCAATTCAAATAAGTTCGTGAGGACTATGATCTTGGTTGTTAATGAATACACATACTTTTCTCGGGATAAACGATAATAACTTAAACTTACAAGCCGGAGACTTGCCATGCAATTACAAGTAAGTTAAGCCTACAATAACTGATGTGGATACAGTTCTAAACTACTTCTAATCCGTTATAATATATTAGACAAATTACTGGACTTTTGCAACAAAGAAACCATACCCACCATGAAACTTTTAGTAGCTAATAACTTTCAGGATTTACATGCAACTAGACTGCTAGCCATATCCAATATTTCTGGATATCACACTATACAGACACAAATAAATATTATAAATATGTGCAAACGCACGCAAAGATTTCGGCCCACTACTTACTCAAAACCATACTAACACACTAAAAACACTAAAAAGCCACCAGATCCTCTCACATTATTTGTATTCTAAGCTCCCTCATAAATATGCAACAAAATGTGGCTCAAAAAAGCTACGGAGAAACGGCAACAATATATTTAAATGCACCTCATTAACACGCTCGCTGGAGATATTTGCTCATTAATATATAAAATACCTCTTGAATACATTTGGTGACTACAGGAGGAATTGGCGTGGAATGCGCTAAGCAGAGTGTTGTGAGGTCAACAGCGAACATCCTCTTAACGTATCGAGCTTCCGGCCGACAATCTGGTAATGTGTGCTCAGAACAGCGCTTATGAGCAGCAAAACCACAGTCTTCACACCGTACACCCTTCAAAGTAGGATTCACTAAATATTACTTTCCTAAAAGAGAAAAACAGGTCAAGCATGACGTTAATTCCTATCTTTCCCTCCTTCTTTAAAAAGAATAGCCAGTTGCACCTACCATTCTTACGATTTTATACGACTGGATAAAAAACATGATGAGGGAAGAATAAAAGCGGGTAAGTACACTGAACTGGAGCACATGTAGCGCAGTGCTCGAAGGCACCCTGCAATACACATGGGATCGATCCTACGTCTCATGTCGACCAAGACCTCCATCACACCGTGGTCGGCAAATTGGTACCAGACTTGTTTGGGAGGATATCGGCACTAGCTCGATACATCAGTAGGCCACCGCGAGTCATCGTAAAAGCCAGATTTCCAATCATCTCCAGCGATACTTAATGTCGAAGGTCGAATTCATTGCGCATCCCTCATAGATTGATCAACATCGAGGGCAATATGCATTTCATTTTTAAATAGATTGAATACAACGAGAAAGAATTCTCTGATTAGGAATAGTGTGACAGTGCAAAATGAAAACCTGTTTCAAAATCACCTGCTGTACCAGTCCCCACATGAAATTTCGGCAGTAATCACAGTAGTGAGGCATTTTAAAGGTATGCGGTGTGAAACTATGAGAACGAGCAATTGGCTTGCGTTCAGTGCTCTTCGTATACTGCATGTACGGGCTAGAAATAATAAGTTTACGAAAAGAAAAAACCAACTTGGAATCAATACTCCGCACCTATGCTCGTAGATTGCTTCGTCAGCCATTCGTTTAATATAGTCTGAAGCATGTTTGTCCATAAACATTGAGATCAATCCGTCGGCAACTAATAACTCTATTGTTTCAAACCGCTTCTCTCCCACATAATGAGTCCCATCGTAATAAAGCTAAAAAACAAACCAAATATAATCCTGAAACCTCCAACAACAAGCAATTAAAGTTAAGATCTGAACACTAAAAACAAAAAGTAATTTTAGGGCATCCACGCCTGGCGGAAACAGTGAGAAATATCGACCCTTTAAATCATTTGAAAGGTCGACTTCGAAAAAAGCTTGGCATTGACCAACTTATATTGCCTCATGAACTCTTATCTCTGAGGTATCATGAGATTGTTACCACATATTCTGACGCTCGATGGCTCACATTTCGATGACTCCGTCTTTTTCAGAACCCGTATGTTGGTGGTCTGTTTTTAAGGGCGAAACGGCTTTGGAGAAGACAAAGTTGATGAAGCGTTAGCAGTCGAGCATCAAAAACGTGTTATCATCGTTTGAATTTTAAATGAACATTACCTTATAATTCAGCACACGCCCATCAAAGAACATACAAAGTGTGAATGCGTCCTGAGAACGAAGAGATTCTCGAACAAGAAATGCACCTTCACCTGCTTCCACAAGCATGCGATCTGCCTTAAAAGAGTACTTAAGAATAAGCTTCTTCCAATGAAGCATTGGAGAAATCTCTACCTATATGATCGACACAAAAGGAGCGTCTTCAGATTACCTGGGAAACACCCAATATAAGTGTCCGAAATGTTGTCTACTCGTTAAGACCGCATGCTGTCGTTGAGAAATTTGGTATTTATTGAATAGAAATCGCAAGCTGAATAAGTATTTAGCACTCAAATCTCCTCTCCGTCTCACCTACACTGTTGCAAGCGCATGTTGTTAGGTGTGGAAGAGCAAAGCACTGCAAGGGTTTACTATCTACTAGGCCTACTTAAGCCAAAACTAAATAAAGATTTCCAACAGAAGTCCAGATAAAAGTGAATCTATGTTAAAAAGAGCAGCCGTACTAAAAAGAACCCACTGGCGTCACGGAAAACCTTTACCCTACAGATAAACAGAAATGACTTCTTGGGACGAAAATTCTCGAAGTCTCTCGCGCGAAACATAAATTAAAGATCATAGATTAAAACTAAGGCAATGGTGAATGTAGCGTAAACAAGTTCAATATGAACCATGGAAAACATCTTAAATATGCAACTTCATATCCACCTACTTCAGAGCAGTTCTTTTTCTCTAAGAGTAACCACTGTTACAATAAAAGACATAAACATAGCAGAGTTAAAAAAACCTCTATCCTATTTATCAGGCCATGAAACTCATCGCCATACTGCGGAGGTCTATTTTCAATTATTCGGTCACATGTAACAGCCATGGGCTTAGGTGCACGCTCTTGCAGAAGATACAGATTCTGCTTCCAGTAGCCAACACCGCCTGAAATGAAAACAATGCTCAAACTGAAAAACTACTAAGAACCTGGAGAATTTTTACTTAGGAATGGTAAAAGTAGTGGAAAAGTAACGCAAATAGATAGGAAGGAAACACAGAGTGTTTAAGAATGAAAACTAAGGACTAAAGCATTAAACATCACTTACTCATCGAACCTGCTGTACCACAGGAGTCCTCCTCCATGAGTTCTAGCAGTACTGTGTTCGAAACAATAAAAAAATCATAAAATGTATCCAGGAAAACAAGGAATTTACTATGCCGAAGATGAAACGTTTATACAGTCAACGTAAATACACTTCGTAAGCATTAGGTTCACAGGAAGAACCCAATGATCTTTTCCTACGAAAGTAAAACAGGACAAAATCCATCCGGAACAGATTGTGAAGCCAATGAATAACGTGAAAGCTGGCAAGGGATTCGATATAGGTCAAAAGCGACACGTTACGACCCACGCGACTTACCGTAGCCCTTAAAACTGGCGGGGCCGAGCGTGAATTTTACCCACGGTTTTACCGTCACCTTAAAATGCGTTTCGTAAGCGTTTTTTAGTTTGTTGTATTTTCCTCAGTTGTTGAATCGACTTATCAAAAGTAAGGATACAATCCTGGAATCATTCTAGTCGCAAGGTCTGGATCTCCTTGTCGTCTTGTCCTATGGAAGATGGTGACTACCTCTAATGAAAACTTAGGAGAGGTTGGCACTGAGTACTAGGAAGCTCAACTAGGTGGACCAGTGCTTAAAATACCGATTGGGAAAAGACATGGGAGTTCTTGAAGCTGTAACCCACATAGTATTCCTAGCATTAGTGCTTGCAAGGCAGCGAAAGGGATACAATTGCTCTGTTCTGGACGTCATGTGGATGATTACCTAGTCTAATTGCCTAAATTTCTAATGGCATTCATTCTATGTTTAGCCCTTAGTTCTCGATCGCCAACATCGGTTGGGATCCCGAATTACCTCTTTCAGTTGTATGCTGCGCGAAACATACAGCACCATGCTTTCGATAAGGTTCTCAAGATAACACTGACCTTTCTTCCATTCTGCTTCTGGATGTTTATGAGTAATAATGCGGGGGAAATCTCCCAATCGAACATGTAGGCATTATGGTCGGCGTTCTTTGTATCTTCAGTATTCGTTGGGCTCCTTTGTGAGCATCTTGTGCTGTTGCTTCGTCCTGCACAGTTCTGCAGCTGTACTATTTCTCGTGTTAACTTCTTAGTTTAGAAATACATAACTGGAACGTTTGGTGGCGTCTGCTTTGTTGACCGTGAATAGAATATTACAAAGAAAAAGACGTTGCTTCTAAACAGTATTTGTTTATTTATGCTATTAGGCGGCATTTTGAACTTCGCGAAGCGATTTTCGTTATAATACGAGCTACTAAACACTGTTTGAGGTGTATGCGTATATCGTGACAGGTTTTTGGTTTGAAACTGTATAATTACCATTTATCTTCCAGATAGTGTTAACCAGAGCGGATGAATGTGTTGTGGTTCGTGTTTCTTGGGTATGCTTCGGCTGACATCTACAGTTGTGGCGGTTTCGTGAAGTCCACTGTACCGATCGATTACTCTAAAATACAGGTATTTTCTGCTGATGTGGACTGGGGCTCAGGATCGATCCCGTGTCTATTGCGGGACGCCTCTAACCTCTGCGCTACACGCGTCCATTATTATCGAAATAAGGACTACCAATTGTATGCTATGTTGTGGGATTTTTTACATCGTTACTCGTCCTCATATATAGTACTTCTCTGCTATAGGAAGATATATCATACATGTATTCTGAACAGCTTATGTAATAAACCTAGTATTTGACATAGGCTTTGAAACCTCCCTAAAGAAATCAACTAATGGAAAATTGAACTACGAACTTTAAGAATCTTATACGTTATATGTGTGGCTTAACCACTCTCAGATTTTGCTGTTTATTAGGTGAAACTTCTTACACCAGAGGGACATCTGAAACACGAAGAAGAATGTAATCCGCAAAATGGGTACTACATGATTCCAGTATACAGCAAGGGACACTATTCTCTCAAAGTATTTGCACCGGAAGGATGGTATTTCGGTACGTGCATCGTCGTTATCTATTTCGTAAACTTTTTTCTTATAAAAATTTATTGGTACAGAACCAGAAGTTGTCGACTTTGATCTGGACGGGGTTAATGACCCATGCACACAAAATCGAGATATCAATTTCTTCCTAACAGGTGGCGTTTTCTGAACCAGTACTTTTAGACAAGGAGGTATTGGACGGATTTCGATGCATTCAGGGTTTTCTATTCACGGTGTAGTAGGTGACGTGTCTGGAAGTGGACCCACTGGTCTTTCTTTGATACTGAAGCAAGATGGCAAGGTGATTGATTCCACGACCACGACCGAGGGTGGAAAGTATTTATTCAAAGCTGTAGCAGGTCTTACACCTTACATTTTGCTTTGTAAGAGAAATATAGAAGCAGCAACTTTATTTATTTTTGATATTGAAAAAATCATTTACGATTCTATAGTTGAGCAGTTGTATGAGTCATTTGGTGCTTCAGGAAAGTATGAAGTCTCTACAGGAATAGATTCATCGGTTTGTATAAGACATGGAAAGACTTTTGTAGAGGTTTGTGAACCTATTGTCACTAAGCTTCTGTTACATGGACCTGCGTAGTGCATAGTTTATTTGCTCTGAAATAATGAAATTGCTATGAGATTCATTCCTATGCTAACTCTTAGCCGAATTAAGTAAACGTTATACCTGAGATGAATTGGGTAGTGAGCACTTGGTTTGGAAGAAGTGGCCGCTTTCTGCTTTAGACCAACATTTCCCATCTTGTATTAAATCTTATTTATTCTACATGACCCGCGTTCAAATCTACTATGCCGATCCCACCATTCCTTGTGTTCGATTCGCTTCTTCGCATCCATACTCCATGAAGGTCTTCGAATTTTCTCCATGTATATTCGGCTGCTGGTTGAGGATTTTCGGCCCTTAAATGAAGGTCGTTTAATGCTGGTCCAATCAGTTCACCTTCGAGTCTTTAGGTAGTTGTGCTCTAGCGTTTCCACGTGGGTGTGAAAGATCGTGAGCTGACCCAGACAAGTCTGGTACCAATTTCCCGATCCCGAAAGAGTCGGGGTTTCTGTGAACGCGAGGGTGGAACCAGCACCGTTTTCGTGGCAGACAACTCCACTACCACAGCATTATTCACCTCCTATTATAGCTTTTTTGTTGGAATAAAAACATTTATTGTCCACAAGTTTTCGCGTAAAGATGCAAATTATTTTATTCTTCCGAGGTGAACATCCGATTTTCTAGAGCCTTTAACACGTTTCTTTCATTTTCCTTGCCTTTTTTAGATATTCATTTTATATTTTCCACTTTGCGTTGAGAATCTTAAAAATCTGCATTTCTCTAACAGTTTTTTGAAATTTGCAATTCCTAATATATCTTACATTAAAAGGCGCTGTGTAAAACTCATATATATGACCGAGATGGTACAGCAGAGTCTCTTCTATAAATCGATTCTTCTATGTTTGTACTAACTCTTCAAGTACAGCAATGATCGCGAAATCATCGTCAGTTGTGGAGAAACCTGCTCCGGGTGTTACTCGTTAAGATTAGCCTATTTTTATTTGTAAATGTTTGCTAAGGAGATAAAAAATAAGTGCTTGTTGGACAAAAACTGATTGAACTGTTGCAGAAATAAATACAAGGTATTCACTATCAGGTATAGTTCATTTCTTAGGTTACAAATGCGCCTGTCCTTGTGAAACCTGGCCTACGTATAGCTGGGTATACTTTCACCGTTGCAGTTAGAAATAAAGATCAGCCTCTGCCTAATGCTCGGATAACTCTCTATTCTAAGCGTCACCTAGAGGTATTGCAACATAACCACCTGTTTTTTTTCCCAAGGATTGCTGAATGAGTTTTTAGTTGGAAAACTGCAATGCGGTGATATCTCCAGTGCGTGGAATGGATGATGCAGAATTTGTGTGTAATGTTGGCGTCACGAAAGATGATGGCATCATAAGTGTCCCTTGTTTACCAAACGGAATATATTATGTGAATGCCGAGTACAAAACCGATGAAGCTGATTTCCTTTTCTCACCAGCTATTCAGAAGCTGGTTGTTGAAAACGAAGCAGTTAAGGTGTGCAGAAATTAATGACTATTAAATTTTGGTGCTGAATTGTTTCGTTTATTATCGTTACTATCATGATAATCAATATGGGCTTAGGTCTCATTTTCCGTTACCGGATTCACAGCTCGTGGACGAGTTGTCGTAAGCAAAAAAGGAGTTTCTGGAGCGCAAGTTGTTGTTCAAGGCAAGGAAGTGACTGAGACCGATGCAAATGGTTACTTCACCTTACAGGGACTCACAGTGAGCATGTCATATATATATATATATGTATATATGAATACACTTGTACGTTTACTTATATATATCACCTGTCGTTCCGCAGATTTTCGAATAACTTGACCTGGTGGCAATAAACCACGCTCCATCTCTCTCTGTCGCGTGCAAGAGCGCTCTAGTGGGTTCTGCTTGCTGTAAGGGCTCGTTAAGCATCATATATTTCCTCTAAAGTTTTCATGAAGAACGCTGACCATCGAGTCGATGGTCCCTCTGCAGTACGCTTGACATCCGAGGAATCCAGTCGCCGACGCATGTTTTCCATCGGTTGTCGTTCATACTAAGCACGTGTTCGGTCTATCTTATTTTCAACAATCTGGCATATAAAGCAGCATCTTTGGTTCCCGATCGTTTACGCAGGTCAGAGCTTCAGGTTCTTCGGATGTTCAGATCTCAGCCTATCCGGATCAGGTGTTGTCCGATTCTTCATCGACGATGTAGCATATTGGATTTCGAAAGGGGGAACCGGTAGTACGATATATCCATCCTCTTTTATTTCATATGAGGGCAGGAGGACATGTCTATTGAACAGATCCGAGTAGAAGTCGTGAATGATTTTCTCCATTACTCTTCTGGAAGCTGCATTGCTTTACAAGTTTAGACGTTTATTGACAGTTGCCTGCAGCTCGTGCGATTCCACGCTGGCGTATCAGCTTGAATGTTTCTAGAGAAAGACGTCTCTTGATGACTTTCGACCTCTCAGCTTACATATCGCTAACGTGAAAATGATCGAGATGATTGAGCCGATCATATTCCAAGTTGATGTTCTCGAGAACTGCATCTTCCCAATAGCCGACTAATGAACTAAATAAATCTCAGTTCATAACGGTTTTGGGTCTTCGTTTTTTGAATTTAGCGACTTCTGATTCTTTCCTGGAGAAATGACATCTTGCACAAAGAGCGAATGATCTAATCCCGTTTCGAATTTTGAAACAACAGCCATATCAATTAGACAAAGCCTTCGATTTGCTGTTATGTGGTCTATTTCTTTATGGTGTTCTCTACTGTGAGAGCCCCACGTCCAGCGCGGAAAGCGAGGATTCTGATATCAAGAATTACCATTAATTACCGATAAACACGACCCGACCCTAGGATTTCTGTAGGTTGTCCATACTCGCCGTAACCAGTGCTGCCGTATCATCTCTTTCGATGTCAGGGAAATGAATCCCATTTATTTTAGTGTTTAGCTTTTTGATACCCACGTATAGCTTGCTGGGTCCTGAACGTGGGGACTGGGTATACTCACTGGTGGTTTGCGAGTCTCTCCCAGAGTGGACATGGAGCTTATTTGTTGGAAGCGACTCCCAACCGCCTCCCATGTACTTCCATGTCACGTGATTGCAGACTTTTGGTTGAAATGACTCGTAGAATATAAGCAGCACGGCTGAGAACACATCCACCTTCGTAAACACAGAAATTATGACTCAAATCGGCGTGGCAGAAACAGTGAGTTAACAGTTAACAGTGAGTACAGGACACTACCACTACCACAGGCACTCGCCGCTTTTGTGGATCAAGAAGATTTGCCGCCATGCGACTAGCTGGAGGGGTCGTATATATGTACAAATACATATGTACACGCATGCATGTATACCTAGATTAGCATATATATATATATATATATATATATATATATATATATATATATATATATATATGTACGTAATGGTTACTATATTTTTGTATACGCATTGTATATTGTCACATAGATTATGTGTTCCTTTTTAGGAAGGGACCCTGGACATCACCGCTCGTGCGCCTCACATGAAATTTAGTACTGAAAGGAATGTTTTGGTGCTACCAAGTATTAAAATAAGAGACGTGAATGTGGAAAGGTAAACTGTTTTATGCATTGGAACTAAATATGTTGCTCTTTGATAATGCCTTGTGGACAATGAAATCCTTACACTTTTTTATTTGTTTTCGTAGTTTTTTCACCATAGCTTTTCTTTACTATTCCATTTTATCGTTGTAGCTTTGAAGTCTGCGGCAGTGTGGAGATTAGCTCTCAGGATGCTATCGTTTCAACGTTAATATTGAAAAAGACTGACGGTGCTGAGATAGTCTCGATCCGACCTGCTGCTGATGGAAAATTTTGTAAAATGGTTGCACCGGGAAAATATTCGATCTCGGTATAGGATAGGTTTAAGCTTTGTTTCGCATTTCTTGGCAGTTGTGTTTCTTTTGAAGTGTTGTTATTTCAGCCGGCTGATTTTTCGTCGACTTTGACACCGCGTTCACTCGATATAGATGTGACAACATCATACGTTAGTGATTTGCGCTTCACACATTTCAAGACTGATGCTGTTGTACTCGTCACTTGTATAGGTGTTTTTTTTCTAGATTCTAGTTATTCTTCAATTACCGTAGTTTGAAATCTCTGCGAAGTTTGCCTACATTTACTTCAGGTAAGAAAATAAAATAGCATAACCTTAATGATACTGAGATCTTTTCGAATACAGAACGGAACGTAGGGATCTGCGGTAGGGATCGAACCCGATATTACCCTTTCCGGGGGCAGCGTGTTAACCACTACTCCATGCCGGCCCTTCATTTCACTTTTCTTTTACCCATGTTTTAACTTATAGGTGCCATCAGAATTCACCGTCAACAGAATTGGACAAATAAGTGTAAAGTAGCATATTATAACACTTCAATGGTTTTAGTAGTAATGTCTCGTACTTTCCTCACTTGCAGTTTCGTAGAACCGTTTTGTAAAAACCTATGGCTGATGTTAATTTCGATCATTTACAGTTTGTTCCCTTAGATCGGCTCTCTGACTTTGTAGGTGGAATTCAATTTAGGTACTTGTGAAACACTGTCGATATCACTGTTGCAAGGTACCAATGAACTTCATACCGTTCGTGGAAAAGATGAATTCGTTTTTAAAAACATTGGACCGGGTGCTTACCGAGGTTTGTAAAAGTGAAAGATTTTCCTGAATATGATGGGAAAAGTATAAATTTAGTTCGAATTAATGAAGGAGATCGAGCTTGTTGGGAAAAGCGTGAACTGCCTTTGTTCATTGATAAAGTGCGCCCTCAACCGGTGCACTTTGTTCAGAGCGGTTTTACAAGCATCATCAAACTTAGTCATCCTGCACACATGGTAGGCTTATTTTTCAGTTCTTTGGTTATAAATGTCAAGTCCCCACCAAATCTGAATAAGCTTCATTCCCATAGCACGCACTTTTTCCACATTTTTAAATATTTTCGGGCATTAGTAGTGAGTTCTATGTGTTAATTTCTTGCGTAGGTGTTTTAGAATGTAGTTTGTTTTTTTCTTCTTTATAGTAGTAAGATTGAACCTTGCTACTTCTTGTAAAACTCAAAATTTCTTTGATAACTCTACTTAAGAACAGGATTTAACGTGCTCATGAAAGCCGGGTTTCTCTACACTCTAAATATATGTGCAACTTCTCGAAAATGTCTTTTTTTTTGTGAATTTGTTTGGAAACGAAATTTTCGAATAATTTAAAACGAAGTTTAATTTACTGGTTTTTTTTTTGGACAAGAGTGAAAGTCACCAGAGTGACGACGATCTTCTGGGGATGTTACTTCATGCAATTTCAAAATTTGTTTTTCAGAAATGGTCACACAATGAGAAGAAACAATTGCGTGGAGACACGAATGCGGCGGCAGGTTTATCCTCGATATGTGTACCGGTACAGGGTCGATACAACGTTCAACTAATATCATGTATGAATTTCGACCCTCCGCACTTTAATATCACTGGTAAATTTTTAAATTTCCTGCAATGTTTTTCTAAATAAACGAGTAAAGAAAAGAGGAATGGCACAGTTTGAGGGTGCCGAGTGGTAACACCAACCGTAACCTTGCCATTATTTAGTATTGCGCTAATTTCGCCCCCATATCTCATTCTTGCTTCCCTAGTTTATTGCTAGCTACTTGCGTTGACGAAGTTTATCGAATTTTATTTTTCAGTAACGTCCGATTCAATCTATGAGTCGAAGGCTATCGATGCAAGGATAAGTGGCTCAATTAATAGCACAGATGGAAAGGGCTTTATTATAAAAGTCAAGTGAGATATACGAATCGATTTATGGCTTCAGTTTTTGCTTGTAAAAGTGAATTCTGTTTCTAAGTTGTTTGAGATGCTTCAGTTTATTGTTTTAGTGTACCTCAAGCAAGGCTTTCATTGTTCCACCTCCTTAACACATTCGAGGCCGCATTTTTTGATTTCAGTAGATAGATGCGTGGAAATAGATCTACCTTTTAGTTTTAGACAAACGTATCTTATCTCACATTTTAAAAAGCATTCAGTGCAAGTTCCGAGGTAATAACCTCTTTCAACTCTGCAGCAATGTGTCTAAGCCTATAATGAACTTTTAACATTAAATTATACACGTTCTTACCTACAAATTCTTTTATTCTACCAACATGGCGTTATAATTGTAAAGATCACAAAACCTATAGAACGTACTGCTAGTTGTCGGGAAACCAACAAGGCCACGAATTTTAAATTATGACCTCATTCGCTGTTTTTTTTTTATTAGCACACACGAGGTTGTTACTACGTATTATTTACTTGCAACAGTTTATGTTTCGGCGGTTTTCGCCTTCTTCGGAACCTGTGAAGTCAAGTTGGCTTCAATCTACCCAGCTAAACATCTCTACCATAACTAAAACGGGAAGAACACAAAGCCAAGAAATATAACTTCAATGATGCTGAGATATTTGCAAAACTCCGAACCGCAGGTGTATGCGGTGGGGAACGAACCCCCAGATCAATCCCGCTCGCAGGTCATTGCTGATGGCAAAAGATGGATAGAACTAGCTGAGAGACAGCCGAAACGAAGGACCCGCGTGGTGTGGTGGTGAACGCGCTACTCTCCGGAAAGGACAATAGCGCGTTCGTTCCTCACCGCATACACCTGCGCTCCGGAGTTTTGCAAATATTTCAGCATCATTGAAGTTATATTTAACAATGTATACCCTGCCGTTAAAAAGAGTAGACAATAAATAATAAGTTAAAATTGTGATTACAACAAAACCAAGATTTAAATCGCATACGTTTCCCACATATTGCGTTGTTCTATATCGTATCGTAACCGAATACCTTTACCAAAATTTATGCGACTTCCAGATCTTCGTTGGGTGAGCGTGACGTTTCTATTGCTGCCAATGGTTTGTTTTCGTTTTACGAACCGCTCACATCTGTCAGCGATATCGTCATTAAACCTCATTCTGCGACCCACCTATTCGATCCTCCTGATTTCATCGTTCATTTTAGGTTGGACAGGCTTTCATTGTAAATTTAGCTCACTTGTTAGGCATTTTTATTGTCATTTTACTAAGCTCTTGCATCCTTGATTATGTTATCATTGATGATGTTAACAGAACGCTTGTTTTCAAATAGCTGTTTTAGCAGCATTCCTCTACTTTACGTTCTGGAATTGTGAGCGCCCTAATCCACCAATTTTTTCCTCATTCTCACAAAAAGTCCTAAACGTAGATTTCAGTCCTATCATAGGAATCTACTCTACAATTACTGCTCAATAGAGGTAATAATCTTCAGCTGGATATTCTTCTGTGCCCAGAGAGCAACGAATAGTAATATCCTGGTTATTGGCAATGTGCTTTCCACGTCATGAAATAAGCACGTGTTCCCTCATGAAGGCTATAGTCCTGGGCTACCTTATTCTCCAATTCTCCATCCCACTCCCAATTGGTTTTCCGGGCTAAGAAAATGGTTTCGAAAACGGGAGAATACGGGCAATGTGAAAGGCTAGGAAGCGACAACGATCTACTTGGACTTATCAACAGTGCTATAGGCCTGTTTGTCCATGATTGACCAAATGATATGCACGGGTGGCGTAGCGCGATGTGTTATGTACCTGCAGTGTAAATCTCGTGTTCACAGCATTCTGTCAGACCATCAAGAACACAGACTAGTGATCAATTCCTAAGGCTAATGATAGCCCCATCCCAAGAAAAACGTTGTTATCTTTTATTTTACAGTTATTTAAAATTCTTTAGAGGTAACTGTGAAGAAAATGTTGTCCAATTTTTTGCTACTAAAGGAATCTTCATTGATGGGTCCATTACACCTGCTATTTCCGGCGTTAAGGTAGGACTTGTCAATATATCTTATTAGCGATTCCGTGTATTCGCCACATGATCGTCATTTATTTAATAACTGTTTTCTTTCCAGTTTCTTTTAATTATTATGCCGTTGTAGTTTAATTTCGTATTCGCATCAAAGTGCAGTCGTGTATTTCTGGGAAAATGCTCTTTCAGATCACTGGTCTACACCGGCGAGATAGTAGCATTAAGTTCTCCACTATCTCAGATTCCAAAGGGAACTACAGGTATGGGTTACCTTCTATCTGTCATTTCTTTTAGTTGTTTAGTGGCCTGATTAAGCAGTGTCAAGGTTTTCGGTTTTTTCTTATTCTTTTTCTGATATACGTTATGGCAAAGAAGACATAAGACTCGAAAAGGTGGTTTCGGTGTCGGCGCCGCAATAAAGAAATCATCATCATGTATTTTCCTTGATTTCCTATGCTTCCTGCAATTTCAGTTGCATTTTGCCTTCTTGAATAATGAAAATTACGCTGGGAATATCAGCTGTTCATATCTCATGGTGGCACACTTTGTTGCATTTAATAAAGCATATCAGACACCTGAAGCGTAGCTCTGTTGAGTTCGTAGACTTCACCAAGAACATACATGTCTACCTATCTTTTAAAGGATAGCAAGCAGATACCTCGATAGCGCACGTAAGTGTTTTTTGAGGGTTATCCTGGTTCTGTTAGTTGAACACAATACAGTTCCGCAATCGCCCTATTGCTTAAAACGTATCTTACAACTTTCTGTAATAATTTAGATATACTTTATGCCGGCTTTCTCCGGTCTAATCGCCTTATCATGAAACGAAATTACCGTTCCGTGCCGTTAAACTGGGAGATAACGTTTTTGCAATGCAGCATATTTCACTATACGTAGTCCACTTTAGCTAACGAGTACGGATAGTAACTGCCTGAAAGTGTGCTGGAATAAATATTTCATATGTAGGAAGAATACGGTAAAAGAATTAAGCTATGCATTCGTGAAATGGACTCCACACCACTACATCGAGGATTCGGACAACCAAAGTGAAGCAGTCCACTCTTAAATGGCGCAGAACCTCTTTGATACTTGACTAAATCAAGGCATTTGATATTTGACGAAGCTAGTTTATGTGTGTCGTTTTCTTGTTCAGCAATCGCGAGGTTTTTAAACAGCATACATTTACTTCCATAGAAAAACACAATACAATACAACGCTAGCTAACGTTTCGGCAGTATCGCCTTCTTCAGAGCCTGGAAGGGTATGCTGATATGCAATCTACTAGGCTAAACGCTTCAATAACACTTACAAAAAGACGAAAAACTTTGGTAATTACATGATCAACAACTTCTCGAAAAAACCTACCGCTTTTTCGTGACTTCCAATGAGGAAGTTTAGAACAGTCGATTATAGTCGCATGTGGTTGACGACTGCACCATCACACATCAAAAATCGATGCGAACATACGGGATCAGGTCGTGTATAACCTCCGGGCATTCGTCCCTGCTATTCATTGTAGGGTTTTTGGCACTTATCCAAAAAGCCTCAAGAAGTTTTCGCACTGGTGTTTTGCATTCCTGTGCAAGGATATTGACTTTTACTTCGAAATCGTCTCCGCTGTGCTTCTGTATCCTATGCGTGTCTAGTGGGGTGCTTCGTCTTAGTCTTCGTTTACCACCTAGGTGTTCTTTTATACGGATACACAAAGGTCTGCCCGTTTCGCCAATATATTCATCTCCGCAATTGTTACAAGAGATCAGGTATATCGTACCTAAACTCATGCAATCACCGTCCCTGCCGTAAGGGCAAATTAAGCAATTTGTGATGGCTCTGAGGAAGACGAAGACGTCGAAACGTTAGCCAAAAATAAATATATTTATCAACCTCGTGCAAGCTTATCAAGAAAGAATACATATTGATTAGTCACACCGAGGTTTAGGGAAAGTCGGTTTCGAAATATAAGCAATTTGTTGTTTCACACAGACGGGCGGTTGCGAACTAATTGGCAACGTAGAGTAGCCGGTGGTATTTCAATTATCGCTACCGATTCCTCTAGGCTTGCCCTACTTAAGCATCGTTTTATGGCTACGCTTACTTCATCGCTTATAAAAGGCAACATAAACGGGACTTTCTTTTGGCCAAGTGTTTCGCGTGGGCGCGTCGTTCTCCTTGTAAACCTATCTCGTGGGGTTACTATTTCATAGCCATTGGAGATGGCTATTTACCGAGCCAAGTTGCGCGATTCTTCCTTTAGTTCCCTGGTAGTGCACACAGAGGTTGCTGTTTGAAACATGTTTCTCACAATCGCCCTCTGTGTGTGAAGGGTTGGAAGAAAGGAAATAAACAAGAATGTTCTTGTTACTTGGCTTTCGATACCACTTTGTCAGGTAACCGCTACTTGATAGGTTTATTTGAACGTCCAAAAACGGAAGCCAGTTTGCTCTCGGTTTCTCCCGGGTGAACTTTATGTACTCAGACTGTTCGTTCAATAATTCAAAGCATTTGTCCATTTCCTCCTGCGTAGAGAAGACGACAAAACAATCATCTACATATCTGCAGTAGAGTAGTGGCCGGAGATCGAGAACAGGGGCTTCTATCTTATACATAAACACAATGGCCAGGCTTGGTGCCAATCGCTGTCCCATTGCCAACCCCCTTATTTGCGCGAAATATTTCCCAGACCATCTGAAAATCGAGCAGTTTAGGCACTCCTTTAAGAGAGCCATTAGCTGCTTGATGGACAAGCCATGCATATTTATTCTTCCTTCATGTTCAACAAGAAGTTCAACTTCGAAAGACTCCATCACGTACGCGTTATTAGGAGACGCGTTACGTAGACGTTCTAGGAACATTTGGGTGTTTGTGAGGTGAGCTGGAATGTTGTTAAGCAACTGGGTAAGTATCAGGCTTAAAAACCAGGTTATTCTATCCGTTGGCCCGTCTACGCAGCTGATGATCAGTTTAACCTTAAATGATGACGGATTGGTCGACGCATGATCATCAGGTGATACCAACTTATGTGTTTTAATAAGTAGGTATAGAACGGGACAAGTTGGTCTATCGATTTTAAAGTGCGAAATAACCGATGATTTTAAACCCGCAGCCTTTGCCACGCTGACCCATTGATTGTTTAGCTTTCGGTATTGACTTTCATATTCCTTCTCAGAGAATGGGCGATAGAGAGTAGCATCACTAAGATGTTCCTCTGTTATCTCTTATGTTCCTCTGTGCCTAAACTGCTCGATTTTCAGATGGTCTGGGAAATATTTCGCGCAAATAAGGGGGTTGGCAATGGGACAGCGATTGGCACCAAGCCTTGCCATTGTGTTTATGTCTAAGATAGAAGCCCCTGTTCTCGATCTCCGGCCACTACTCTACTGCAGATGATTGTTTTGTCGTCTTCTCTACGCAGGAGGAGATGGACAAATGCTTTGAATTATTGAACGAGCAGTCCGAGTACATAAAGTTCACCCGGGAGAAACCGAGAGAAAACTGACTTCCGTTTTTGGACGTTCAAATAAACCTATCAAGTAGCGGTTACCTGACAAGGTGGTATCGAAAGCCAAGTAACAAGAACATTCTTGTTTATTTCCTTTCTTCCAACCCTTCACACACAGAGGGCGATTGTGAGAAACATGTTTCAAACAGTCACCTCTGTGTGCACTACCAGGGAACTAAAGGAAGAATCGCGCAACTTGGCTCGGTAAATAGCCATCTCCAATGGCTATGAAATAGTAACCCCACGAGATAGGTTTACAAGGAGAACGACGCGCCCACGCGAAACACTTGGCCAAAAGAAAGTCCCGTTTATGTTGCCTTTTATAAGTGATGAAGTAAGCGTAGCTATAAAACGATGCTTAAATAGGGCAAGTCTAGAGGAATCGGTAGCGATAATTGAAGCTGCCGAAACGTGTTAAAAAAGTATTTAAAAAAAGTGTTATTGAAGCGTTTAGCCTAGTAGATTGTATATCAGGATACCCTTCCAGGTTCTGAAGAAGGCGATACTGCCGAAACGTCGGCTAGCGTTGGATTGTATTGTGTGTTTTTCTATGGAAGTAAATATATGCTGTTTAAAAACCTCGCGATTGCTGAACAAGGAAACGACACATTCGTATTCCAATGCCGAAGTTAATAGAAAGTCGATCCTGGGAACTAGTTTATATGATTTTGGGCAAAGCTATTCCTTGATGAAAAATGCAAATGTCAGGATTGTTCCCAGTCAGTAAACTTCAAACCAATCTCGAGGTCAGTAGCTGCTTCATACCCCAAATGATGTCCATACAGGTAACGAAGAACGAAAAACTATACGCCGGTTTAATATATGAATCTCTAATAAATCTCTAGGACAGAGGTAGACCATGAGTCACCCGCAGAATGGTAGAGCAATCCTCTGTAGATCAGCATCATAACTAGATTATACCACTTAACAAGTAGTAGAAGCGCTGTGAATGTGACAGACATATTTGGGGCAAATAGTTACCAAGCAGTTGTACCTGCAACTGAAGTTGTTTTGCAAGTTTGAAAATTAAACTTTCAAATATGTAGAAAAAAATTCTAATACATGAAGTACATAAGCCATCACCTCGTTTTGTGATAGTCATCAGATAATGAAACAGGGATTTAGCTAAAACCACAAGGTTTATGAAAATGTGTTGTTCAAGTTTTCTTTTCGGCTATCTAAAATTTTTTGCACATTTTTGACAACTGAATCGTTAGTTGGCTATGCTCATTGACGCTTCATGTTAAACCGAAAATAAATCAGCGACATCTTAGTCGTGGTTGTCTTTTTTTTTTTATGAAATCTCACATCCGCAGGCCTTCCGTAGAACTGTTTTCACCGTTCCTGCCTTTTTCATCCTTTATGAGATTTATTCAAGCTTATTTTCACCATACTTCCCAACGGTTTACCGTCTCATCGTGGCTGGTAGGTGTTCGTGGGTATCAGGTTGCGATGTACAGTGGGGGATTCATGCGCCAGCAGGGTTTCCCAAGCTGAGGAGTCCGACGTTTACACTAGGAAGCCCGGCTAAGGGTAAACGAATACCAGGAACCACCAATGTCCTGGTGTCAAACTAGTCGCATGGTGGCAAATTTTCCTTTGATCCACAAAGGATGCGACTGCTTGTGGTGTTGACGGCCTGGGGCAGAGTTTGGCCAGGCTGACCTCGGGATTCCAGGGAACCACAACGGATAAACTAACAAATCTCCGAAAATTGGAGATCGTGCTGGGACCAGTACAACCAGTGACGACGGGCCCTCCAAGTATCCAAGTCACCCGGATAATGTGGTGGTGAAGTGCTCTACTCCCCGGTAAGGACAATAGCACGCGTTCGTTCCCCACCGCATACACCTCCGGAGTTTTGCAAATATCTCAGCATTGTATACGAGTTATATTTCGCAACATACCTTGCCATTAAAAAGAAAAAGGCAGTAAATAAAAGGGTTAAGATTGTGTTATCTTTGTCTCTTTCTTAAAACTCTTGTGTACTGAGAAAATCTCGCAAGCAACTAAGTGTAGTATGAGTGAGAAAAGTGATTTTTTTTTTACGAGAAAGTCCATTGAGTTTATCATGCATTTGCTGACAGTTGAAATGGGAACCTTTTGCTTATGTATTCATCTCAGAGCAAACATATTGTAGTTTTTAACTCTCTTAACACTTCGTACACCTAAAGGTCCGTCCTGTTTTCAGCTAGCCAGTTGCAGAGCAACAGAGATTTTTTGACGAATATATTGCTCAGTTTCGAAAAGTTGACTATAATATAAAGTTAGTCGGTGAAAAGTTATGAGTCCATTATTACAATAATATTTTGCACAAATATTGTTTACACAAACATCGCTTGCATATAGTTGAAATCACGAGGTATTAAGTAGTGAGGTTAACTGTCGTCGTCTTGAAAGATTCTAATTTAATGAAGTTTTTTATTAAAAATCATTATTTTTCCAGAATCGGTCCCATTCGCCGTGCTGAAGATATTGAAATTACTGCTGAACTTGATGGCTATTCATTTAGTGAGAATCCCAATCATATCGGCCAGATTCTGAGCACAAAACTCAGCAAGTTAACTGTGGTTGTGGTCAGTCAACGATTTTCTTCTATTTTAAAATTATTGCGCGGGTAGATACTGTTTACGTCAGTCTGATGTGGTGACTAATCAACGTCTGGGAGGTGTTCTACTATCAGTCGTTGGTGAAAAAGATTATCGTAGCAACAATGTGATTGATGAGACAGGTGTAATCAATTTCGTCGGTTTGGTGAGTGCAACCTCTTTCTATTTAAATGTTGCTTTCATCGTTTTCAATTTCTTCGCTATGCTAATGCAAGCGGACACCGACGAACTTTCCAGTCTATATTACGCGTTAGAGCTATTCACTGAGCGTCGTTTAAACAGCATCAGATGTTCCGTGCTTTTTTTTCATTGTTTTTGGCGAGAACAGATGGCACCTTGGTGGCTACCGTGGCATATGTATGCTGTAAGCTGGGTTTCCAGATGAAATAGCACTCCTAGTTCGTGTGATCCTGATGAGTATGAACGTTCGTTTCATATGCCAGCTCCTTATCCTGGAACGCCTGCCATCCTCGATGATTGGGAAAGTTGCTCGAAGTTTACTGATTGAAACTCTGTACTAGAAATTTAACACGTTGGCGACCGCTGGATCTAATGGAATTCCCATAGTCGCTCATCCATATCACCTACATCTGTGATATCACATGCCGTGTTAGTCATCAAGTAATGAGAAAACACAGGTAAAATCTCTTGATCTGTTGATTGAAATGCCTTGTTATCTGGACATATCTTCTCCGAAAATTTTTGGTTATTATTTGGCTGAAAAAGTGCCACACTTTTAATAAAGTTTCACTGAAGACATCCAAGTGCGTCAATATGTTAAAAAGTACCAGCGCGAAGGATGTGATAGATAGCTTGATAACTCAGTGATTCATAAATCCGAACGTGTATGAATTTCTCTATCCAGAGATTTCTTCTTAAGTTCTTATGAAATTGTCGAAACAATATTTTTAGGCACCGGGTGACTATTTTCTTCGTGCAATTTTGCAAGAGTACAAATTTGAACCGTCGATGACGACGGCTACGGTTAAAGAGGGTCAGCATGAGCATGTTGAACTCAGAGGTCGGAGAGTGTCTTTCAGGTAGGCTGTTAGTGTTGTTCATATTCAATATTCATGATGTTTTGTAATTACATAGTGGCAGCTGCCGTCGCTGGCACTTCTGACGCTATAATCTATTCGATACATTCGTTTGGGCAGTAACTCCGAGAATGTGAATTTTTCTTGTTGTGTACTTAAGGGTGGCTTGTAGGCGTGGTTAATTAGAGCATATACCAAGCACTGCGCTTTATAGTGAAAGGCAATGAATAATTTAAATTCCTAGTCTATTAATCCTCTGAGGAAAACGTGTTGATATTTTGAAAAATTGCAACCATACTTACTGAGAATTAGATGGCGCATCTCTAAATGTCGGGCGCACCACCATTTCTTCCATTCGGTATGTTATCTTGCAATTTTTAAATCATTAGGGTGGTCGGGTTTCTCGTGTGGTTTTTGTATCGCTCGAGACTGTGTTTTCTTCTGTCTTCATCCGTATACTTAATGTTAGTTGACCTTGTTTCACCTGGAATCCTGAGATAGCCGTAATATCTCGTTCCAAGGTTATCCCCACAGGCATTCGAGTTTTTTACAATTCTTTACTGTGTCTAACATTTCGGCTCCATCGCTGCTTGATACCTGCGACGTTTCTGTTCGAGTGTTCCCAGAATTTATTTCTTGCGATGTGGTTCTTTGATCTTGCGAATATTCGTCAAATGCTCTACTCCACTCCATTCGACTCGATGTAATGACTATGAGTGTTGAATTACGCAATTATTTTAGGGTACATACGAACCGATATTGATATGAGCTATCACGAGTAGGTAAATTATGGGTGCAGTGTGGGTGTGAAGGTATATATTAACATATACGGCAATGTTTTAGAGGAAGGGATATTTTTTTTGTATCTGTTGCTACTCTTCACGTGTGTTCGACTCAGTGATGATGCTCTATAAAGCAGTGATAGAAATATTCTTGTATACTAAGTCAGTACAGACTTTCATTGGACCTCAGTGTTTGTAATCAGTGTCTTGCTTTATTGATAAGCTACGCGAGGTTGTTACAAGTTCTTGTTATGGCTGATAGTTCCGGCGATTTCGCGTTCATCAGAGCCACGGTGATTCGAAGTCCATTGTCCACTTCAGTTGTTTCTTCTTGTGAATTGAGGAGAATCGAGAAGTGTGGAGCGCGAGGGCTACGGAGTTCAACATCATAAGAGGAAACAACTGTTGTTGATACTGAATTTAAACCGTCGTAACTCTTATGAAGGCAAAATTCCCGAAACTTTTAGCCATGATGAGGGATTACAACAACCTCGTGTGCATTTATCAATAAAGAAAGACATTTTGTTGAATGCCTTAGGTTTTTGAGGAGGTGGAATTTCTTTTTACAATTTTTTCTTATCTTTTGTATACCATGTAGTCTTTTCATATTATGACTTCTTTACTCACAAAAAGTTACATCCAAAATTTTATTTAAGCGTGTTCGGGCGTGTGCGCGAGATGTCCGGCACGCCTGTAGTGGATGTGATCGTCGAGGCCTTGTCGGAACAGTGTCATCAACACCAGTCTGAGGCGACGACCACACAGGATGGACTTTACCGCATACGCGCGTTAAAACCGCACTGTCAATATCGTGTCTCAATCAAAGGTGTGCTTTAAAAAGCGTCCAAAAAGCATCCAAAGCATGTACCAAGTGTTATTCTAGTAACGACTATACAATTTGAGAAGGCCTCAGCAAAGTACTCCTTTGCTTCTGTCGCTTTTCAGACTCCACAAATGGGTTCACCTATAACGGGTATCAAAACCTCCACACCTTTCCTATAAAGGTTTTATTTCTACTGTTTCGGGTGAGAGAATATCCAAGGCTGTTGTCTCGCGTGACCGAACTAGGTTTAGGATTTACTTGTCGAAAATAGTCTCTAAGTGCCCTTCGCATATTTTGACTCATCGGCCTAGGGGAAATACGTGGTTAGAGAAACGTAATAAGTTTTATTTAGCTTGCAGTCACACACTTATTTTGGTTTGCTATCTTTGTGAGTTGTACTGAATTTCAATATTCCTTTTCTTTCACTCACCATCATTGTTCGCGAAAACAATCTGTTTTGGTTGTGTTGACGTCGAAGAGGTGTTGTAAGAAAAGCATCGCATTTTTTATCCAATATGATGGTATGATTTGAGCACGTTCTTTGTTTTATTCCCTTTCAACAATAACTTATTTTGTTGCTTATATATATATATATATATATATATATATATATATGGCAGTGTTTGCAAAATGGAAGTGTTGATGCAACGAATTAATATGAGAGACAGACAAATGGCACACTTAACTGGCAGTCTGCCCCGATGATACCTTCTGGAGGCTAGGTGATGTTTACATGTTTTTAACACGGCTGGAACAGGAAAATAGTTTGACATGTATGTAGTTGAGCCATAAAGAAAAGGGTAAAACTCTCGGCGTTGGTTAATTCCTAAGAGATGCACCATGCATTCGACTTCGTTAAGCATCGTTGGAGGTGATTGAATGAATATCTGGTCTTTACAATGACTCGAGGTGACCCACCGATGTATTGAATCAGTGCTGCTATACTCCCAGACAAATCTGGTACCAATTTGCTGATCACGGAGAGATGGAAGTCTTGGTGAGCATTGATCTCATGTGTATTGCAGAGCGTTTTCGGCAGCGGCGCTACATGAACCCTATAGATGTACTCTAAAAGGAAAAAGCTCTCAGTGTTGATCAATCTCTGAGGAAGGCGCCATGCATTCGACTTCATTGATTATCGTTTGGAAGTGATTGAATGCTTATCTGGCCTTTACAATGACTCACTGTGGTTCACCGAGGCAGGCCATGGGCGCGGGATCGATTCCACGTGTGTGTCGCGGTGGCGCCTCCAACCACCGCGCCGCATGTACCCATGAACTATGTTAGAATCTATTTATTCAAATAACGATTACCGATGAATTAACGTAGCTATTAGCGCAGTCCGCCACAAAAGTGTTGGTTCTGGTGTTATTGGAGGAACAGCTGATGGATAAGTTTTTACGCAAGGCAGAAGCAGAATTTCGTGTCATCGACGTAACATTTTACAAAAATCGTTCGGGCGAGCAGTATTTTTTCATGGTCTGTTGACAGTCTTCAGTTCAACTTTGTTTTTAAAGGAGTTCATATCATCTTACCGATTTCTTACTGATTATATTAGCCCGCGAGCGTGTTTCCTTTATTGTCGGAATGTGACGATGATTTACCTCTCAATGTCGGGCTACATGATGCGTTATGTTGCTCCCCTCCAAAGTTAACTAGGTTAGGAAATGCGGTGAACTTCACACCGACTGGCTGACTTCCTGAAGTGACTTCTTTATCGTGACATTTTGGAACTTCTGGGAAGGAAATCTTGCCCAAGAGACACTGTTCAAATGAAAAAAGAGGCTGTTTGACTCAAGAAGGCATGCAAGTAATGCATTTAGATGCTCTATTAGTAGGCGGACTTCTCTCTATCGGTATTTTGTATTATCAGTTTGACAGAAATTGTGCCTTTATTAAAATAATTTTGTCCACAGGAATTTCTGTGTAACAATATATTTTCAGGTTCAGCCAGTGGCGGACCGGCACCACACTGTTTTCCGTCGAAATTCGATGTTAGAATGACTGCTGAGGATCTGATGGGACTTGACATGGTGGCAGCTCCATATGAATCCAGAACTGATCTGGCTGTTGAGGTTCGGAATCCGTAATGAATCAAATTTCAACGCAATGACCTACGCTGGTTTTTCAGTAAGTATTGATATTTTGTAAGGGTGGGAAGCACAGTGGTAGTGATGCCCGTCATCACGATCACGGTGCTCGTTCGATTCCGCTCCGGCCCAACCAAGCCTCTCATCTCTTCGAGGTCGGGAAATTGATACCCGACTTGTCTGCGAAAAAGTTACTATGCAATCTAATTGGGAACGCTCCGGCTATCTCGGGACTTCAGGGAGAATTACTGGACCAGCATTCTACGACATTCGTGATGAAGTGAAAGCCCTCAAGCAACAGCCGAAGCCGCACGTAAAAGTTGAAAGATCTTCGTGGACAATAGATGCGAGAAAACGAATTGGATGTGAGAAGTGCTGTTATCCGCAGAGTAGACGTGAAGACGGACCAAATAAAAATGAAAAAATTGATATTTCGTACTTAACTGTAGTATTCGGGAACTTGAAATTTTGACCGAATTATAAGACGTGTTCTAAAACTTTTGTTACAAATTTGTTTAAAAAGAAAATTTTCAAGAGTTCAAAGACAAAATTAAATTTTATTTTAAAACTTTGCAACGCGTCAGTGGCGGCTGTAAGCATCAATAACGCATTAACGGACAGGTGTTATATGGAAATTTTTGCTTAAAGACTAATACGCTTTCCACTATGACTTCGAAAGTCATCTGTCGTTTGTCTTTTGAATCTCAAAACCTTTTGCCAACATGAAGTCATTTTATGGTTAATGGAAAGATGATTTATTATTCGTCTAAGATGATGACCTTTGTCTGCAGAGTGATTAGTGATTCAGTTTATTAAGAAACAAGGTGGTGGTTCGACCCCTTCTCAAACACGCTCTCCTAATCCACTTGAGAACCCCTACCTCTGCCATCTTCAAGATTACAAAGAGAACTGATACAATCAGCATTCTACGATATTCATAAAGGAGACGAAATCCTCAAGTAGCAACCGAAACCCACAAACTTTTCGAAGCCTTGGATGACAGATGTGAAGGATTAGATGTGAGAAGTGCTAGAAAATTTCTTATTTTATGGGAGAAGAAAACTTTTTTCACTAGGTTTCTTATCGGGGTTCGTATCGCGAGCAGCGGAGGAATGAACAAGTTGGAAATCTCTTGAATGGATTGTTGATGTTTTGTGCTCCTTTGCTAACCTTGAGAATTTGGAAATTTTTCAGGTTCTTCAAATGTCTAAAATTTAAGTCACTTCAAGCTAGAAGTTTTGTTTAATTGCTAGAACATTTTGTGAAAATAACGTATACCGTAGAGGAATAAAGCGAAGATTTCTGTAAATCTACGAAGTTCTCAGTTCCCGAAGTGTTCTAGTTGTCTAAGAAATATCAGAAATAATTCAAGAATGCAAAGAATCTGCTGAGGAATGTGTTACGTCTAACTCAATGCAATGCTCGACTGTTGCAGTTTTTTTCAGATCGAATTTGCCTCAATGCCTATTCCTCCGATCTATCGCGTCTCAGTACAGCAAGGTGGTGAGGTCGTTTCACATTCAGTGGTGCATGCACCCGTTACGATATTCTACCTCAACAATTTGCCTCGTGATGGCAGGGAATATTCAGTTCGTGTTGAATCCGATCGACATCAACAACCTTTCATAGCGAAGACAGGTAAGAACTCTCTCTCCTAGTCGACCTTTTCCTATTATTACCGAAACATTAATTGCTCTACAAATTAAGGTTTGTTGCTTGTTAGTTAACCTTTTTACGGCAGTTATTTTATATATGCGCATCATTTGAATTTTATCACCGCATAACGTTTTCTGTCATTCCAAAAAACCGTAGAAATTGTAATGGTTAATACAGATTCATACTAGCGTCCATAAGAAATTGAAAGGATTTCTAGTATTCTTCACGGCTAATGCACCTGTACATGTTGTTCGAGTCCCCATAACGATGTCGAAACGATCCAGTGAAGTGGAAATTAGCGTGGGATCATTGCTTGCTCTGCCTTTCTTCGGGCTTATAGCCCTAGCGTTTTTCAATCAGGTACGAAGGTTACCTCCTTTCTTTTCTAATGCTTTATTACTTAGGCCCACTTGTACTGGACATGTTGGTGTCTTTGCTGTGTACAATCTCGATTTCGTTTTATACCCATCTTTTTAATATTTTATTTGTTATAGGGACGATCGAAGGAGTTATTACGGTCATTAGTATCAATTGTACATCCTTCTAGTCCATCAGTTGAACGCAAGAAGAGAAAGTAAACATACGCAGCGGAAAGGTTATGCTTTACTAGGTACCACAAGTGTGCGGTTATAATATTACAATTTACCAGAGTTTTGATCTGGTCTTGTTGACTTGTAATGTATTTTCTGTTGTGTTAATATTGTATAACAATATTGCTGTTTATTTGAATTTGTCAGTTACTACAGAACAAATTTACGACATTGTTTTTGATACTGTACACTTAAGTACATAACTGAACCGTTCAGTGAGACTAACAAGCTATATTCCACAACACTAAATGTAGTAGAAACTGACGTCGCTAATGTCCCATGTTTACCATTCCAATTCCGGTCCACTTCCTACCCATTTTCATCTACTGGTATCCGTAAATTCGAAATGAAGATGACCCAGCATAAGTAAAAATCAGCCGTACAATCTGTTCAAACGTAGGAGAGAAAACACTTGCCGTTATTAAGACATTCGCACTTGATTTCCTCCGTCACCATCATCCGTCGGGTGTCACTGTTTCTATATAGAAAAGAAAACGTGTCCTGATTCTGACACCACTTATCGGTACTTCTCCGTCCTTGCTTTCGTACTGTTCATAACTGAACCTCATCATTTCGAAATTACTGAGTTGTTACTTGCCACATAGACAGGGATTCAGTGGTATGGAATGGCCTGCAGTTCGCATGCAGGTATTGGTTCAATCATGCGCACAGAGCCAACAATAGTCTTAAAGAAAAGCGAACAATGAAGCTAACTGAAATAATTGGATTAGGAATTTCATACATCGTAGGATGAGCATTCAAGATGGACATTAGCAATGATACACCGTACAAGCGAGGACAAACGGCGTCGCTCAGCAACCAGAGTTGTCCGTCTGTTGAAAATTTCGCTTGCTTTAGAAAGCTGGAACCTAGTATTCCTGGATATGAAACTTCGACGATGTACATTTGAACTTATCCTCTATAAATGCCTTCCAAATTGATAACCATTTTGGCATTTCCATCCTAAAACCCACCTAAAAGGAAATCAGAGCTAGGAGTGCCATTTGGGTAAGTGCTGAGGGACTGAAAAGCATTTTCACTGCTTCCAAGGTTCCCAAGAAGGGGCTTCACTGTTTTCAAGCTGCTGGTCAAGTTGGATCTATGCCTTACCCCCTACATGCTACTTCCTAATTTGTGTATTCATAACCAATCGTGTAGTTGTGTTACGTCAACATATGGTTAGATGTAGAAAAGAAGTGATATTCTACCTCCATGTGATGAGGTAGAGGAAACTGGAGCACTGATATACAATCTAAATTGCAACGACCAAAAAGTGTTCCAGGTTAATCTAGGAAGACGAAATAGCTGACCTGATACCCAACACTCAGAAAACGACACAGGTCTACTTGTAAGTTGGACTTTGAGCAATACGTCAACCAAAGATTTCAGTTTCATTCAAATGCGTTCCTAAAAAAGTTCACAGATAAACCAATCAGCCAATGACGTTGGCCTCAGAAATAATAACAAGAACAGTAGAAACAACAATATCACAAGATAGTACAACACCATTCAACAGATAATGAATCAAAACAACGTTACGGCACTGCATGGACTACTACGTGCTTTAGTGTTGACTAGATGGTCACGAATAGCTACAATAAGTGGCCATTCCTTTCGCCGATACTTGACTCGTCTACTCACTTTTCCAGACGGTTTTAACTTGAACTGCTCTTTTAAATCATAACCAGTGGTTAAGCGGTGAAATATCGTCCCAGGCCGAACTATTGGTAGACTCAGAGGAATCGTCCGAAAATGGACTTTCTGAAGGAAAGCAGAACGCACTAGACATATATATGGAGGGTAATTTGCGTTCATAATGTACACGTCGAACTCACCATTATTAGCATCAGATTCGTATTCAATCGGCGAAAGGGAAAGGACCTCTCCAATTGCTCTGAAATCGCTTAACTATGGCTATAATGTGCAATTGCCGCCTCATATGCTGTACACGTGATAAGGTGCCAAAAGTAAGCGTAGGGCAGTGTCTTTAGATGCTATTATGCACACGGCAATTGGTTCATATAGCCTAAGGGCTAACCAAACGTTGTACTTTCGTCGGCGAGAAGTTGACTTATGTGGAAGCATAGAGAACACTGATTTGGTACATTGGTAGGGCTACGCAAGTCACCGTATAAGTCAGATATTCATTCGATCACCTCTACGACGCCTAATGAAGTCGAACGCAAGGTGCATCCCACAGCAATATATCAATGCCTCACGCCTTCCCCTCTACTATTTTGATGGTGAGCTAAAGAACCATCGGAATCGCAAGAAAAACTATCATTTCGTTGGCCGGCTTTAAGAAACGCCCAGACCACCGCATAATTGTCCACTCGTTCCATCGTATCTTTATTGATGTCCACGCAAATGATTCATTCCCATGATGGTTACATCTGTTGTCATTCAGCTTTGGTCTATAATTAAACAACGACTATAGGTTGCTGAAGTGAGTTGCATGCACGTCGCTTCTACAGGGTCTCCTTAAGATCTTGTGGGTTTTCCTAAAAGAGCTCCAGCAACCCTTTGAAATTTAATGCTTCTATCACACAAATAACCATAAAAAAAGAGGGAAGGGCTTGGAGAGGGCTCTGGTAGTGTTTCGCTTGGTATGTAGTGCCGTAGAAAATCTCGTTCCAATCATTTTTAGGTGGTACATAAAATCTACGAAAAAACTGAGCTATTAATCCCATAGCAGAATGCTGGAAAACTCTATATAATCAGTTGAGCGCAGAGACCTAGATCCGTAAATTCATGAGTCCATACAATTGGGAGCATTTACTTTGGATCTCTTTTTTTTTCACCGCACCACTCGTTTTCTTTTTCGTTGAACTACCATCTCACTTTTCCTCTGCTTCATTTTGCATGCTCCAATGGTACTTTGCCATGGGCATCTTGGGATTGACATTCTAGAAAGGTGGCAGTCCTACTCCTTCAACTAATCAAAAAACCAACTGGTTCACGCTCACTAGTTTCATAAGATAAAGGCTAATTATTTTTTAACGTTGAGGTTGGAGGTGAAGCAAGGCAAAACTAGATAACAGCGAACACGAAAGTCGACGTTCTGGCTGGGTCTCTACGCTCAACTGACGAACAACATCAACGCTTTGTGACGGGATGAACTCATCACATGTATCATTAATAACCGATTTGTTAAGCTACTTTATATGTCTCCTCTATTCTTTATGCTTATGTGGCGAGGTCGGACGAAACTTGATGAAATCAACAGCAACAACATCGCTACGTGAGGATATTCCATGCTTGTTGCCGAACATAGGGCACTTTCCATAGAATTCTTAGAAATAGCTTCGCTCACCTTATGCACAAAACTATTTCAAACTGTAAGAGGCATAGAAATCAAGGAGAGTCTTCCTGAACGTACCTCTTCATTTTCTGCAGCTTTTCCATGTCGCTCATACCATCTAAATCTTCCTTGATATCACCTACGAAGGTAAGTTCAGTGTTCACATGGTCATAAAGCAATAATCGTTTCATAACTGCATTGAATTCGACCCACGAATTTTTTCGTACATCTCCAACTGAACTCTTTTCGCTTCCAGCTCGAGCTCACATTTTTTGTAACGTTCAAGAGTGCTTGTCATAGTTTCCCTAGCCTTGTCGATGTCTTGTTGCCTTAAAATCGTAAAACAAATAGACCATTAGCTGAAACTACGCCTTCTGACAATAAATATTTTGCCAAAAAGACACAAGGCGTACATATTCATCCTCGGTACTGAATTAGTCTATGTTTCGCAATATATCGCGCTATCGATTAGCTCCAACCACCCGACAGTTAGGGAAAGATGCTTAACTCTTTTTGAACAAACTATACTAACTGAAAAGAAAAATATAGCAGACCATTTACTGGTAGCTATCGCTTTTCGCCAGCGCGTGTGGTATAAGCGAACTGAATCCTTGAGCAAAGGTGGCGCTTCCTGAGAAAAACACAGAATAAGACTAAGAGATAGCCACAAAAGAATTTACATTTCGCTTCAAAAATAATATTTATATGGACGTCACATTATATTCAGTCAACTGTATTAACAATAAACGACAATAAAGCTGTAAGATTGAGAAGCGATAGGAAACAAAAAGTGGGTTCATCGTCACTATTTTGAGGTTTCCTATCGGATAAATGATGCTCTGTCGAAGATGTTAGGAAAAACTCCGAACGTTTAGTGAAGTAATATAATCCTCATGAAAATTCCGAGTCATGTTCTATCATCGGAAGATCAGAAAGGTGTAGGTTCCAACTTTGAAATGTACACTCCGTCGTTTAGCCCATTTAACTAAGACAACCATCCAAGACTTTTTAAATTACATACAGCAAGGAAAGAAATACTTACTTGATACTTGAACAGCCCGTACTCACTGGTTGTGTGGGCCCCGGCACAATCACCATTTTTCGGAGATTTGCTGGTTAAGCCATTGTGGTTCCCTGGAATCCCGAGGTGAGCTTGGTCAAAGTCTGCCCCAGGTCTTCACCACCACAGGCAGTCCCAGCCCTTATGGATCAGAGGGAGATTTACCACCATATGACTTTGATACCAGGATGGCGGTGGATCCTAGTATTGGTTTACTTTAAACTAGGCTTCTTGATGGAAACGCCGGACTCTTTCTCAGCTTGGGAGACCCTGTCGGAGGAACGAATCTCCCCGCTGCACATAGCAGTCCAGTCCGACACCCATGAACACCTCCCAGCCACGATGAGGCGGGTAAGCCGTTGGGAGGAAGAAAAGAAATAGCAACTAAATACGAACTCCCATGAACGACTTTCGATTAACCTAGGCAATGATCAAATAGTTGAGGAGCAAATACGAGGTGCTATTTCACACTTTATTCCAGTAAAGCTGACGTTTCGGCGGACTTCGCCTTCGTCAAAGCATGGAAAGGTCAAGTTCACAGCAGTCTAACCAGCCAAACACCTATATAACAAGAATCTTGGTTTAGCATTTTTTCTGTTTGGTTGTGGAGATGTTTAGATCGGTATATTGCGGTCAATTTAACCTTTGCAAGCTCTAAGGAAGGTGAAATCTGCCGAAACGTCAACTTTCCTGGAATGAAGAGTAAAATAACACATTGTGTTTGCTCAATAAGAATGTCAAGAATTACGAGTACAAATTATACAAAAAATCCAGGTAATTATAAACCAATGTGAGGTCAAATCAAAAAACACTTCAAACACACCGACACTGCTTCATCAATGGTCCTTTCAAGTGATAAGTCGAAACTGCCCAACACCTGATCCGCGCTAAAAGAAAAACCAGGTAGTCAGTGAGAACCTTGAAGCTGTACGTTTGCTATAATAACTCTGTAACTACATTTTAAGTTAAAAGTACCCACTGTTTACGCAGTTCCTTATTGAAAGCAAAACGATTATAATAGGTGCGACACTTCATGTTTAGAAATCCAAGCTGACGATTCAGTTGATGTAGCTGAGGATCAATATAACGTAGTAATCCGATAGTGGCTTAAAGAAGGATTGGTGGTGATAGTGACGGGTTCGGTCTCAAGAAGAAGAAATTACCTTCAGCACGGCGAAGCTGCTCATTAACGGCGTCATAAATTCGCTTCCTACAACGATCTACAAAAAAAAGATAAGTACGTGCAGCATAAAAACAATACCTCTGTCAAAAATGAAAGAATTAACAAACTAGCATCTTAAAGTAACTAAAGACGTCCTGTAGCACTACGACAGAAGACCAGAAAGAAAGATACAAAGAGGTTGCTAGTGAAGAACAAATAAAACAGCACCATACCTGGTTTATTTTTAAATATGTCCATTGAAAAATGAATCAAAAACGATTGCAGAGGAACCTTCTTTGGCTTAGGCTTATCACATGAAGAGCCATTTTCTTTCGAAATGGTGGCAGTGTTCTCTCCCTTCGTACGCTTCTTCGTTCTTTCATTCAATAGGCCAGCTGCCATCAAGTCTGAACTGAACGGATTCGAAAAAAAAAGAAAGATGGAGAACAGCACTTCATCACAGATTACGGAGACGGTACGGACACGTTAGGCATCAACTCAGATATGAAGAAATAGAAAATTAGCAACACTAGCGTCAGCCACACCATAAGACGACGATAGATCCAGAAAGATTGGCGACAGTAAGAGAAAACATTCACGACCATGACGGTTTTTCAATAATATCTGGAAATTTCTCTACCTAAGGAGACTGGAAACAGATCGAAGCCTATATCGTCTTAGAGGTATAGGCAAATTTCCCTGAATACTGTTATCTATATAAAAAGATAACTACTATCCATCGCTGCCTACTGATCGATGCAACTGACAGGTAACAACTAGATGCGTGCTACTATCACTTGAAAGAAGTTATCCCAGTGATAAATTGTACTATGAATTTTTTTTCGAAGGCTTTAATGCCAGTATAGGAAAGGTCACGGACAGTGGATTCAGGATCGGAAAATTTGGATGATCAGAAGGAAGTAGGGATGAATACCGTCTTGCAGGACTCCTGAGTGCAGCACGCTTCTTGGAATGGAAACTCGTCTTTCTATGACGAAAGCCGCCGCCGCCGGACATGGGAGACTCCCAATGGCACGGCTCATGCCAAGACTGACCACATTCCATTATACGTTACCATATTATTGCATTATATATTATTATGTAAAAGCTCTCCGCGTTCATCAATCCCTGAGGGATGCACCATGCATTTTACTTCATTAGGCATCGTTTGGAGGTGATTGAATGCAATCTGGTCTTTACAATGACTTGCGGTGGTCTACCGATGTATGGTACCAATTTGGCGACTCCGGAGCGACGGAAGGCTTGGTGGACCATGAGCGCGCGGAGACCAATTCCACGTGTGCGTTGCCGGACACCTGCGAACACTTCGCCACACACGTCCTTATTATTATTATATACTGCACATAATTACCGTATTATTACTATGTTATCATATTATTGTTATATCATATGGTTATTATCGTATCATTATTACTATGTTATTCTTATTACACATACTTCTTGCACTACTATATTACTCTATATTATCATATAATATATTATCTACCTGGCCATTTGGATAGCCCGTCTTCACTGATTGTGCGGGTCCCAGCACAACTTCAATTTTTTCGGAATTTCGTTGGCTTAGCTGCTGTGGTTCCCTAATCCTGAGGCCAGCATAGGGGAAGTCTGCACCAGGTCGTCACCACATCAAGTAGTCGCCGTCCTTGTGGATCAGAGGGAGATTTGCCAGCGTGCGACTAGTTTGGCACCAGGACGATGGTGGATCCTGGTATTGGTTTACTCTTAACTGGGTTTCCGGATGGAAATGTCAGATTCCTGTTTCGGAGACCCTGCCGGAGTAATGAATCTCTCCACAGTACATCACAGCCCAACACCCAGCACTTCCCAGCCTCGATGAGGGGTAGAGCGTTGAGAGGCATAGCACTGTATTGTTATTATACTTATTATATTTTATAATACATTTATATTTTTATATATATCTTTTTATTTTGTACTCAGTATTATTATATTATTTGTTTTTTATTTTATATTTGATGAAATAATGTGATCATCTCTCGGGCGGGCTCGAACGGCCGACAATTTAATCCGATTGCAAAGGCGCCTGTGGCTCAGTTGTCGGAGGCACCCTAAAACACACACGTGGAATCGATCCCCACGCCCACGGCCCGCCAAGCTTTCCATCCCTCTGGAGTTTGCAAATTGGTACCAGACTTCTTGAGGATATCAGTACTGGCTCGATACATCAGTAGAGCACCGCGAGTCATTATAAAGGTCACATATGCATTCAATTATCACCAAACAATGCTTAATAAAGTCGAATGCATGGCGCATCTCTCAGAACGCCGAACGCTTTACCTTTTTTTATTTATGTGATTGTAATGTATATTATATACTGTTGTACTATCACTGTTTTATTATCATATTCTGTATTCGACCATATTCTGAGAAACAGAAGATGGAGCCTACCTGCCGTATCAGCAGGACAATCATTCTCTACTGGGTCCAGGATGGATGCATAGGTCAAAACGACTATTATCCCAATTAGCAACTTAGACTAAGCATGTAACCTTGCAAATCGAGGAAACCTCTGATGGAACACGTAACAAGTCAGTAATACCTGACTAATTATGGCTAATATCAATATAGCCGGAATGTCCCAACCATGCAGAGAAATCTAGCTCCGCTCACCGGAAACCCTGGGAATTCAAAGGGTTTTAGTATCTCAACGAAAATCTCTTCCGTAAGTGTTCAGTGTTCAGCCCCAAGTTCAGTGGATTCCCAAAGAAGACGCAATTCTTTGACTCCCTTGGTTCAGTGCAAGCATGAACTCGTTAAACGCTTCATTAGCTACAAGGTCCAGTAATTTGGCAGTAGAAAAAAAACGAAGGTATACAATAAACAACAAGGAAAATTACCTTAATATACTACACTTGTACTCGGTTAACTGCATAAAAAAAGACGCTTAATTGTCGAGATTGCCAATTCCAGAGAACTGGCATCCATCAGAGAACATTCGTGATTACATCTTGTACAGTAGCACAGCTAGCTACTTTGTTGTTAGCACTTTATCTTCCCTGCTATATGTATAATTTTAGCATCGATACCTTAAACACAACCGTGACGCCCAGTTACTTTGCAGGTAACATTTCTAGTAACAGAATTCCTAAGCACGCCATTTGGTTTCATAACATATCAAAGTCTTTACCAACGATCCTATACCACACAGTGAAAATGTGCACTTAGATTGAAAACACAGGCCTTTGTCTTTACAAAAGGACATCTTTTAAAAGACCAGTAATGAGAAATAAACACGAGAAGTGGCACGTAAGCGTTCTTACGAGTCCGAATATGTTGATTTACAGGTATTATCACACCTCTGTGAATTTAAACCTTCAAGTGGACGAAATCAGATCTCAAAAGAACAATATTTTCTTGGTGTACAACAGCCGATTGATATGTAGGGCTGATTACACCTTTAAGAACGGAAACTAATGGCTACGAAAGCCGCTCCATAAACGGTACAAAGAACAGTGGTTGTTTCAACTAACCCAAAACCGCATCCGCCTTTTCTTCCATCCACATTTATATGAACGAATTGCAGCTCAAACCTGCGTTACATCATAGCATTTTCAACGAACCAAAAAAAATTTATCAGAAAAGAATATAGCAATAAAAATGAGCTACATTAGGTCGAACAACATATGAAACACTCAAGAAATTCATAGCATCATAAGAACAAAAAATTCTCTTGCTGTAGTTTCCCAAAAAAAAGGTAGTATTGGTGCAACGAGGAACAGCTTCTACGATGAGCATCATAGAGCTAAAAAAGAAATTTTAAAATAGCGTTTATCGACAGTTCTCAGACACCATGACTAAGGTGCACTTTGTGCCTGGATTATTTTTCTTGAACACCCAAATACATGAGATTTTTCAGTCGCCAGACAATGGAAATACAGATGACGGCTACATCTGGGAAAACTGAGTCCAGTCACAGAATATTTACGCTCAAGAAATACGAAAAAAAAGTTGCCAGACAACTGCAAACAATTTGGACAATGTTAACCTTTTATATGCTGCCTATTACAACTCTTCACGGCAGCGTACAATGTGAAACGCAACCGTAATGATGCTGAGATATGTGCAAAATTCGGGTTCGCAGGTGTCCGCGGTGGGAATGGAGGCGCTATTATCCTTCTGGAGACTAATGCGTTCGCCACCACACCATTCGCGTCATTCGTTTCGCCTGTCTCTCAGCTAGTTTTCTATCCACCAGTGCCAGCAGAATCAGCAATCTGGACAGTGTTCGAAAAAGACCAAACTATTTTTGTCGCTTCAAAAGCACAGAAGATACTCTCAAGAGAAGTTCTGTAAGAGAAATTAAATAAATGATAAAGAATTTGTATCTTTCCGTAGTTGTACACCGATACGAATAATGATAAATGGGACCTTCGAAAGGTGTAACCTATTCAGAGAGGTTGTTCATGAAACAATTAAACATCGTTCTAATACTCAGAATTTGCACTTAAACTTTTCAGTTTATTGCATTTCTTCACCTTCAAGCGAACCTTGGTCGGTTTTTCCTTTTAGCATGAGGCGCTGTGATATTAAAGAACTTTTTTTGTAGGTAGGAGAAAACGGAGGTAATATTGCAGTTAGTGCTCGAAAAATTAAAACACCTCAATCGATTCTAAAAAAATTAGTACCCCACATTTAGGTAAAGTTCTAACTTCACCCGAAGTCTCTCAAATAGTTATTTGCACCATTGGCTGTTACTAGTACAAGGCTATCACAAGCTACCAGAAAACAAAAGGAAGTGTGGGACTACACACAGAACCCATTCCAACGATTCCTTTCATTCTCGGCATCTAATACTCCAACGACCATTATTTTTATCTACCGGTTTTATTACAAACCTCATTTGCCAAGTGCTTGTTCCCGCCTCTTGGCTTCACCGTTTTGCGCAATTTGCACGACTTTTCTCGTATCATCACCAGGATTGCTGTGTTTGTGTTCCACACGCTCGGCTTTTGATCGCTTACCCGATGAACCAGTGAATTCCTGAATAAAGAACCTTTACCAAGATTAGCTAGAAGTGCAATGACGTAAACCATGCTGGAAGTGTCTGTGTAACATTTCTTAAAATAAAAATCTAAACATAAAATTTACAGCTAAACAGCCAACGAAATTATACATGCCTGTCTCATCGTTGTCGGAATGTTCTTAGGTGTTGGGCTGCGATGTAAACAGAGAGATTCATAGGCCCAGTGAGACCTCTCAGTTCAGTAGGAGTTTTGCGTTTCTACCAGGAAACCCAGCTAAGAGTGAACCAATACCAGGATCCACCACTGTCCTGGTATCAAAACTAGTTGTATGGTGGCAAATCTTCCACAGATTAACAAGGGCGGTGACTGCCTGTGGTGGTGGCTACCTGGGGCAGACATTGGTTTGGCTGACCTCGGGACTCCAAGGAACCACAATGGCCAACCCAGCAAAACTGCAGAAAAGTGAAATTATACTAGTGCCCGCACAACCAGCGAAGACGCGCCACTCAAGAATCCAATCAGTGAAAGTGGATACATGTTCACGGATGAGCGTGCTGCGCTACTTTAGTCAGTTACCAAACTGATTTGACATCTAGCATACCCTGATTTAAATGAAACCAAGCTAATGGCTTTTACAAGAATTCTTAAACAACAAAACTCTTTGGTATCAATTAAAATGAGCATATTTCATAGAATGGTTGTAATATCGCCTGAGTTGTGGAACATCTTAAAGGGATACATAGTTGAAAGACTGTTCATTCTCATCCAGAAACGAAACGACACTAAAAAACAGCTCATTGGCCACGAAATGAATACAACGTAATGAATTATCCACTACTGACCGCACTTAAACTTCAACATGTAGTAAATAGATCCTCACAGACGTCATTTTTCCAATTACCATAACGATTTGAAGCTTCAACAAACCTCTACAGATTTATTAAAAATAGTTCTGGAACTCGAACATGCGCATTTGTGTGAAAACATTTAGCTGAAAATCTTTTCTCTCACAATGTTTACTACTAGCTCCTAGAAGGGAATTGCTCGAGGTGTTACCGTGGTTGATAAGGTTTGTCAACAATACCTGAACTCTACTCACTCACTGCAAGGCAACTTGAACGGACTTCTGGCCCTACCAGAATATAAACTAGGGAAACATTAACACGAAGAAAAACTAACCGGCCCACCATCCTTCTCGTATTCAGCAGCTAACTGCTCAGCGTTGCTCATTATCAGAAGTCTTGGAAACCTGGAAGACCTAGTATATGTATATATATACATATATATATATAATACACATATATACATATACACATACATATTTATGTAACATATAGATACTATGCATATATATACTATATACGTATATGCAGTGTACATACACAGGCACATATATATATATATATATATATATATAAAGTTCAGCAAGTTCTTAAGCCCTCTACACATGAAATGTAGGAGAAACAAAGAACGTGAGTGAATGCCTGGAAACGATTTCCATGCTTTCTATTTCAGCGCTTCATTCGAGAAGGATAACTAAGCGTTAATAATTAAATCATGGAAATTAATGAGGAAGAAAGAGCAAGACCAATGACGAATGACTGCACGCCTTTGGGGAACCAGCTCAGAACCTGCCCCGCTCACTATACAGATCTCCAGATATTGAAGAATTCCAGCTTTCGAAAAGGAACTTTCGAAGGACGTTCTTGCGAAATCAGAGCCACATGGCAACGATACACTTAGCACAAATGAGAACTAAGATCAGGAATAGACCGCTACTAGTCGATAAGTCGATAACCGATGATCACGCCCCTATTAGACGTGCGATCTGCTGCGGTCAGAAGTGGGAAGGTGATGGACGTATCGCAACAGTACACTTAATGAAGATAAGAACTAAGACCGGGAAAGCTCCGCTACTAATCGATAACCGGTAATCTGATGGCCATATCGCAACGATACAGCTGGTAAAGATAAGAATTAAGATCAGGAACACACTGCAATTAATCGATAATCGATGATCACGCCACTATCAGACGGCCAATCCGTTGTGGTCACAGGTGGGAATGTTCCGGTGACAGTGTGTACGAGTCATGTGTGGGAAACCTGAACTCGTTCATTTGAGAGCCCCTATATCCAGCTGAATACATATGAGGATTCATTCGATCGTTATCAGACTCCTAATTCATTCCCGCAAAAATGAAAAAATTTTTTGTAAGGACAGGGATAAGCGAGGTCGAAATCACTGATTGCCGATTGGTAAGCATAAAAACAGATCGCTTATTCGAAGACAAAAGTGCTGTACTTGAGTTAGGGATGAAAATTTGATGACTTCCATACTTCATAGAATGTAGGAACCACAAATGTCTACGCATGATTACATGAGAGATGGATTAAAAATGCCTTCACGTATCCACAACTGCATTCTGCATTCACCCTCAGCACACTTTCACGGCTACCGTATTCCATCAATAAAAAATATGAGCTAGTTTTCAACATGTGTCATATTTCTCTACTTTGTATGAAGTGAAGTCCGTCACTGTTAGAAGGCCTTCTATCCATAAATTTGTAAGAAGAGGTTGTCGATGTAAGCTGGGAATCACTAATTGGGAAATTATGTGGTTTTCTTTATAAACGGCGTATAAAGAAATGATAACGACCGTATTTTTTTCCGTTCTTTTTTCATTCATTTATCTAGTTGGAGAAAATTAATTAGTAACAAATGTTATAGCACTGAATACCTTATTAGGAGCATCCAGACTAAGAAGGAATCCATCTCTCTTCAGTAGAACACCACGCTGATAGAAGTGGATTTCAGTAGTACCAACTATCCTGTAGAAAACCTAGTTACGATATAGGAAGCATCCCTGTAATTCAACTGGTGCCACCACAGACGTTTTTTGTTGTGCTCTACATAACCAAAGGCTAGCTTAATCCAACACAGATCATTGTTCTGGATATCGAACGTGATAAGTTATTCACCTGTATCACCTGTAGTCCCGTTGATTGTTGAGTAACTCAAGCGGGCGCCAATAAATCTTCCATTTTTCCCTGTCGCGTGCAAGAGTAGCTCAGTAGGTTCTGCTCGTTCTAGGGACTCGTCGAGCATGATATCTTTCTTCTAGGCTCTTCGTGAAGAACTCTGTCTATCGGTTCGCTGGTCTTCTTGCAGTGTGTTTGACATCCCGAGGTATACAGTCACTAACGGCTCCTGCCCATCGGTTGTCATTCAAACGCACTACGTCTCCAGCACACCTTATCTGCGATTGTTTGGTGTACAGAACGGCATCTTCGATTTTTGTTCGTTGACACAGGTCGGAGCTTCGGATCCCATCCCTTAGTTGTGTGAAACGGAATACTCCTAGCACCGTCCTTTCGACTGCGCGTTCGATAACGCTGAGTGATCTTTCATCCTGCTTATGCAGCGACCAGATTTCTGACGCATACATTAGGGCAGGAAGTACCGTTGAGTCGAAAAGGTGGGCACGGAGTCGGGTGTTCCTTGTTCTCTTCACTGCACCTTCGATGCTCTTGAAAGCTCCTCAAGCCGCTCGTTTCCTTCTGCTCAGCTCTGGAGGTAAGCAGTTCAAAATGTTGACTTCTCGACCTAGAAAGACATGACTGGCGCACTCGGAGATACTCGTTCCGTTGAGCGTGAATTGGGCATGCGAAGCCAATCCGTTCCTCATGAACATCGTTTTTGTAAGATTTAGTCGAAGATCACTCTTTCCACAGGCTTTATCAAAGTCGACAAGCATACGTTTTGCTTCGCTAATCTTTAGTGTTATAAGGACGATGTCATCAGCAAAGCGAAGATGGTGTAACTGACGACCGTCGATTTTCACTCCCATATTATCCTATTCCAATGTTCGCATGACGTTCTGGAGGGTAGCGGTAACCAATTTTTGGCGAGATGGTATCGCCTTGCCTAACCCTCTTTTGACGTCAATGTTAATATCGTTGTAGAATGGTGATATCTTGGATATGAAATTTTTGTACAGCTCACGAAGAATCTTTATGTACTGAGTAGGGACTCCTTGACTATTAAGGGTTTACATAACTGCTTTTATCTCAGTTGAATCAAAGACCTTCTTTAAATCGATGAAAGTGAGACAAAGCGGTCTTTTGTGCTCTCGCGATACTTCAATGAGCCTTGTTATCGTGTGGATGTAGTCCATCATACTATGGATCAATGCCAAAAACCCTACAATGAATAGCAGGGACGAATGCCCGGAGATCATACGCGACCTGATCCCGTACGTTCACATCGATTTTTGATGTGGGATGGTGCAGTCGTCAACCACATGCGACTATAATCAGCTGTTCTAAACTTCCTCATTGGAAGTCACGAAAAAGCGGTGGGTTTTTCCAGAAGTTGTTGATCGTGTAGTTACCAAAGAGTCTTTCGTCTTTGTGTAAGTGTTATTGAAGCGTTTGGCCTAGTAGATTGTATATCAGCATACTCTTCCAGACTCTGAAGAAGGCGATACTGCCGAAACGTCAGCTAGTGTTGTATTGTATTGTGTTTCTCTATGGAAGTAAATGTATGCTGTTTAAAAACCTCGCGATTGCTGAACAAGAAAACGACACATTCATATTCCAATGCCGAGGTTAAGAGAAAGTCGATCTTGGGAANCATCGATTTTTGATGTGGGATGGTGCAGTCGTCAACCACATGCGACTATAATCAGCTGTTCTAAACTTCCTCATTGGAAGTCACGAAAAAGCGGTGGGTTTTTCCAGAAGTTGTTGATCGTGTAGTTACCAAAGAGTCTTTCGTCTTTGTGTAAGTGTTATTGAAGCGTTTGGCCTAGTAGATTGTATATCAGTATACCCTTCCAGGCTCTGAAGAAGGCGATACTGCCGAAACGTCAGCTAGTGTTGTATTGTATTGTGTTTCTCTATGGAAGTAAATGTATGCTGTTTAAAAACCTCGCGATTGCTGAACAAGAAAACGACACATTCATATTCCAATGCCGAGGTTAAGAGAAAGTCGATCTTGGGAACCATCATACTATATCCTTTTCGAAACCCTGTTTGCTCACATGGCTACTTTCCTTCGTCCACTGTTCTGTCAATCCTGTTTAGGACGACTCGAGTGAAAAGTTTGTAGACGGCAGACAGCAAGCAGATTGGGCGATAGTTGCCGATATCGTGTAGGTCACCCTTCTTGAACAATAACACGGTCTTGCTGGTCTTCCACTGAGTAGGGACCTTGCATTCAGACAGGTAACATGTGAAGAGCCGAGCCAATGTGTTTAAGAGTACTGGCGGAAGGTTTTTCAGGTATTCTGATCCTATCCTGTCCGGACCTGGTGCTGTTCGATTTTTCACCGACGAAATGGCATGTCGGATTTCGGAAGGGAGAACCGGTGGTACAACATATCCATCCTCCTTTATTTCATATGACGGGAGGTGGACGTGGCTATCGAAGAGATGAGTAGTATTTGTGAATGATTTTTTCCATTGCCTTTCTGGACGCTGTAACTATTCCGTGTGGGCGTCGAAGTGCAATCATCGTGGTCTTGTAATTGGCGAAGCTTCGGTGGGCTTTGCGAATGTTTTTCCCAGCCTCTGCAACTTCGGCCATTATTGCTGCTCTTCTCTCTCTAAGATCTTCTTTTATTGCCTCTCTCCCTTGCTTTGCAAGTTTGGACGTTAGTTCGCGGTTGCTTGCAGCTCGTCCGATTCCACACTGGCGTATCGGCTCGGCTGTTTCTGGAGACAGACATCTCTTGGTGACTTTCGAACTCTCAGCTTTCATAGCGTTAACGTGAAGATGTTGAATGAGCCGATCGTATTCCTAGCCGATGTTATCGACAACGGCATCTTCTCGACAGCCGACTAATGAATTGAATAATTCCCAGTTCGCGGTGGTTCTGGGACTTCGGTTTTTGAATTTAGCGGCTTTTTCTCCTTTCCGCGAAAAATAGAATCTTGCACGAAGGAGACGGTGTTCTGATCCCTTGTAGAATTTTGGGACAACAGCGACATCGGTTAGGCAAGACCTTCCATTTACTATGACGTGGTCTATTTCGTTATAGTACTCTCCTCTGAGAGAATCCCACGTCCAGCGTTGATAGTGGGACTTCTGGAATTGCGAGTGACCATGCCTAGATCGCTATGATAAACTCAGATAGCCGCTTATCCTGCTCGCTCCATTCTAATCCGTGAGCCCCAATGTGACGTTCTTCAGACGTTCTTCTTGGTCTTATATTGGCGTTGAAATCTCCAGTGATGATCTTGAAACATGTATGGTCTTCTCTGTAGAACTTCTCCAAGTCCATGTAGAACACTTCGATTTCTTCTTCTTCATAATTTGATGTTGGCGCGTAAACGACGAAGATTGTGAAAGCCGGTACTGATCCATATCTCTTCAGTTGCAAACGTCCGATTCGGGTTATAAGTTGTTCGAATGGATCGATGTTCATGGACAAACTCGTGTTGACGAGAAAGCCGACGCCGCCGACTCCTTTTCTGTAGCATGTTCCGAGGAATAGTTCTTCTCCGGTTTCATAGACGGCGTTGAATGGGTGCCATCATCTCGCCTCGGCCAGGCCGACGACGTCGTACTTCATCCATCTTGCTTGCATAAGCAAGTCGTCTACCGAGGACTCGAATGCAAGTGTACGTGCAGGTTACAGATCGTCACCATAGTTCTTAGTGATCCAGACAGCTTCCATTGGCCCTGACATTTTAGCAGCCTCTCTGTACTCGTCCAACCAACGCCACAACCGTATTTCATTAGATAAAGAAGTCGTTCGACCGGGGCGAGAAGGTAATACTCTTTCACTCTCTTCTTGAAGGGCACGCAAGAAGTTATTAGCCGCAAACCTTATTAGCAATACGGTACTGGTTGATGTTTCGGCGGTTTGCCTTCTTCAGAGCATGGCAAGGTCAGGTTGAATTGCAATCTACTCAGTCAAACACTTTCTTAATTACAGTAGAAGAACTTGATACATAAATTTTTTACTCGCATAGTTGACAGCTTTTCTTAAACACTCACCGTTTTGTTCATTGTAAGACTTCCAGTTATTTGGTTGAGGCCAGCAGCATGGAGTCCTACTTGGGCGAAGAATGTGGAAGACTTTCATATATGTACTTCACATACATACTTGATACTTGAAACTTGAATGGCCCGTCCTCAGTGGTTGTGCATGCCCCAGCATAATCTACATTTTTCAGAGATTTACTGGCTAAGATATTGTGGTCCTCTGGAGTCCCTAGGTCACCCTGGCCAAAGTCTGCCTCAGGTCCTCACCACTACAGGCAGTTGCAGCCCTTGTCGATCATGGGAGATTTTCCACCATGCGACTTTGATACCAGGACGGTGGTGGATCCTACTATTGGTTTACTCTTATCTAGGCTTCCTGATGGGAACGCCGGACTCCTCAGCTTGGGTGACCCAGCCAGGGGATGAATCCTCCGCTGTATATCGCCGTCCGACACCCAGGAACACCTCCCAGGAACACGATTAGGCGGTAAAACGTTGGGTGGACTTCACATATGTAGATAAATTTAAATAAGTACTTAAATTATTTATTATTTATTATTGTTAAATTGTTTATTATTTATTTAAATAAATTAACTTGCACATATATAAATAAATTTCATATATGTCTATTACCCCCCAATGGTTTACCGCTTCATCGTGGTTGGGAGGTGCTCCTGGGTGTTAGACTGCGATGTGCAGCGAGGAGATTCGCACCCCCGGCAGGGTTTCCCAAGCTGAGAAGGAGTCTAGCGTTTCCATCATGAAGCCAAGCTAAGAGTAAACCAATACCCGGATCCACCACCGTCCTGGTATCAAAGTCGCATGGTGGCAAATCTCCCTCTGATCCACAAGCGCTGCGACTGCCTGTGGTGTCGAAGACCTGGCGCAGACTTTGGCCAGGCTGACCTCGGGATTCCAAGGAACCACAGTGGCTTAAACAGTAAATCTCCGAAAAATGGAGACTATGCTGGGGTTCGAACAACCAGTGAGGACGGGCCATTCAACTACCAAGTAATTACGTATGTGCCCAGGCAGAATCTACTACAGTGGCAATAATAATGTGCAAAGCACACGAGCTGCTGGCTCGAGTCCACAGTGCTTTAACCAAGCCATCATTTCTCATGGGTTGGAAAATTAATGCCAGACTTTTCGGGAACCGGCTCACTACATTCACTTCACAGAATATGCGCATGCCTATGACGGAGGGCTAGAAAGGCGCTGACACGACTATTCTAGGATTCCAGGGAGAACCGACTCTACCGACATTCGTCGACAATCATAAAGAAGTTCAAAAATTCTAAAGGAGCAGCAGAACACACATACAGATCTGACACGTTCGTAGATGATGGATAACAGGAAATTAAATGGATGCACGAAGTGACACAGCAAGCGTAATATCGGATCATGAAGGAAATGAAGTAAATGGTGTAAATGGTGTAGATAATATAGCTTCATAAGAGAATTGCACTGGTGTAAAACTGCTGATTGTTGGGATAAAATCTCAGGACCAACTTTCTTTTAACCTCGGCATCGATTGATAGTTCACTGTTCTTTTTTGATGAGGAACAACAAGTTTGTTATCACAGCATTTATTAAGGCACAACAGGTGACGCTTCGGCAGTTTTGTCTTCTACAGAGCCTGGAATGCTCAAGTTGACATGCAATCGATTCACCCAAACCCTCATAACATCAGCAGACAAAATAACACAGATTTTCATTCGAGTAGTAAACAGCTGCTTTTAAATACTCACTGTTTTGTTGTTTGTAAGTTTCTCCAGTTATTTGGTGGAGACCAGCCACAGAGTTTTACGCAGTCGAAGAATGTACCTGGCTAACCCCAAAAATCAATCAAATTTGATCTTTCCATGGTCTGAAGGAGAAACCACCATGCTTAAGTACTTTAATAACAACCTCGTGCTTTCTTATCAAGAAAAAGTGTGAGTTTTTGGTATAAATCACAATGTAGTCACTTTTCATTTACTGCCTATTCTTTCTTAATGCAGAGTATTACGTGAATTATAAGCATAATGATGCGGAGATATTTGCAAAGCTCCGGACCGCAGGTGTCTGCGGTGGGAAACGAACGCGCTATTGTCATTTCCGGAGAGTAACGCGTTCATCACCACACCATAAGAGTCCTTCGTTTTGCCTTTCTCTCAGCCGTGTTATTGCCTTATAGGTGCTATCAGCAATCACCCGCAACTGTTGGTATAGTTGGCAACCATTCCTCTTTTTTGAGAAAAGTGTCTTGCTGTACCATAATGTTTCGTTTGTGTTTATTTAGTTACCTATTAATACGATCTGTATTTATGCATTTTTCAGATTTCAGCACTTCCTTCATTTGATACACGCGGTTGTCTGCATCCGTTCTTTATACAACCTGTTCCATCGGTCATATGACACATTGTGTTGTCACTAAAATGAAGATTGTCCAGCAGGTTTTCAATTCTGTTCTTATTGTAATGAATGACGTTCAAGATCTGGATTGAAATTCCAATAATCCTTAAACTCCATTAGCTAGCAGTTCCCATCTTGAGATAGACACTAATGGATCTTTTCATCTAGTCTCTATCTTTTATTTCACAACACGTCTGTTCACCTCGTTCACAATCAACTTCTAAATGCCGGCTAGAAATGTGTTCTATAAATACATCGGAAACTTATGAAAGGAAAGAAAATTGTGGAAAACTATATCCATTCATTGAGGCAAACAATTTTTGGAAACTTTTGCTCTTTCTTTTCTTTCAATTCATGCGTGCCCGAGAATAACTGCATTTTCCAGGAAACACGTTCATCAATCACTGAGAGGTCGGATGAAAAGAGAAAGGGAAGGATGAAGATTCATTAAGCATCGATAGAGATAACTGAATGAATATCTGGTCCATACAATAATTCGCGGTGGCCTACTGATGTATCAACTCAGTGCTACTTACTATCCTTCCATACAAGTCTGCTATCAATTTGCCGACCTCGGAGTGTTGGAGAGCTTGTTAGGCCTAAGGTGCGGAATCAATCCTATGTGTATTTCAGAACGCCTGTAACTGCTCCACGGATTCCTCTTCTCAGCTCATAGTTAACGTTATTATCTGATGTAGAACTTACATGAATCTAGAGGTTAACAAGGATCAAGTTTTTCTTAATCCAGCAAGTTAAATTCTTGACTTGTTTTTGAAAATCTGGGTTTGAGATGGACTTAGAAAAGAACGAAGATAATAATTTTGAAAAGCTACATGCAACCTTCAACGGAGCAAAGCCTGATCTATAGATTCGTCTAACTATAGCCTCTTAAAAGCATTTACTTATTGAAAAAATTATCAGAGCTTCCAAGAAACCAGAATCGCTTATTATGTGGAGCAAATAAGTATGATTTTCACGGGTAGTGCAGTGGTAGACATGCCTTTCAATATCACGCGCAAGGTCCTGGCTCGACTCCTGTCCTGCAACATCACTCCCATCCCTCTGCGATAGTGGTACGATAGTTGTCTTGCAGGAATTCTGCCCGATCCACAAAGTGCGGCGTCCGCTTGTAGTGAAGACCTGGGATGAGACGGTGGTGCCCTAGTAAAGCCATTTCAAAGCAAGAATTTGCTCATAATTTAGTGTGGAAAGAGAGACCGTGTACGATTACGACACCGGCTATAAAAGTTAGAAGACAAAAAAGTCTCTTATTTTTTTGGACCTACAATCTGTATATTGTGGAAATGGAATAATAAAGGAAAATTATGGAATAGTTAATTACTCCGAGGATAACTTTTATCTAGAAAATTGCAGAAGTAGAATTTCGAGTCCAATTTACTTTATGTACATGACCTTAAATCACATATTGCGCAAATCTTAGAGCTCCTTTTTTCATTCGACTTGCGGTCCCGCGTCCGTCAGCCACGAACGCTTTTTGATTTTTGCGTAAGGGTGCGTGTGTTGGTTCAGATTTTTTGGCGTTCTGTATGAATGTCGCTGAAGGCTGATCGACTGGATTCTACTTGAATCCTGGGATAACTGTTGGGTTCTTCCCAGGCCTTCACCACAAGTTTTGTTGATTTTCTTCCGGACAAGTCTGGAAACAATTTCCTGACTCTAGAGGTATGGAAAGGTTTGCTTAGTTCGTGCAGAGTCAAGGAGTGATCGTGCAGACTTTATTGAACTGCGCCACTAACCACACTATTTTACACGCCAAACTTCGTCTAAACCCCGAAAGGAGCGAAACTAGAGGTCATAATAATGAATGAAGCGGATTATCTTCATTGACAAATTTTCTGGATGAATAATGTTAGTGGGCATCGTGTTTAGTATTAAGCTTTTTGCCTTGACTGATGCTATTTAGGATTCTAGCCATTGGATTATTATATTGATAGTGTCTTCTCAATTCTATTAAATGAATGAAATTATAGAAATCTTCCATTATATATATTCATAGCTTGTAAACTCCCAGAATGATAGGTGTTGTATTATTTGGTGTCAGCCTTAGGTGTCAGGTTTGGTAACTGACACCAGGTTTGGTAACTGACTCTACAGTGAGGAAGAAAAAGTCCACTTATTTAATATGTTGGCTCACTTGACGTCCATCGGTTCTTTCCCTATGTGGTGGATGAACGCCAGCCGTCCTAAAAACAATTTCGATCCAGACTGTTCAGTTTTTGCGATTTTGTGCGATGCTTATCCATCTTATATAAGGACACCTAGTTCTTTGTTTGCCAACCTACCCTCAATGACGGCCACCGGCTATATTGCAGCTAGTATGTGCCTCCTTGGAGTGCTTGGCGCATTAATGACGATCAGTTACATAGTCAACGATATCTCTTCACTGCGTGAAGAGGTCACTGTGGGCTTGGACGAGTTCCGAGTGATTGCCGAAGATACCTGGGACCGACTGATGGCATTGCAAAGTCTTACTGGTCAATCAGCTAGCGTCATGAGCAGTCTATTTCGTCAAAAGCGCTACATATATCCGGGAATGTGTGGCTGCAAAGAGAACTCGAACGGGTGTCCGGCTGGTCCCCCAGGAATGCCTGGATCACCAGGACCACGAGGGGAAGAAGGTATGCCTGGTAATGACGGTCAACCAGGAGCACACGGAATAACACTTGCAGTAACACACGATATGCCTGGAGGTATTGATTTTCTTAAGTACAAAATACTAACAAAAATTTAAAAAAAAACTGCAAAAAAGTCTGATATGGTGTAGTATATATTGTTCTACAATCTCATTTTTTCAAAAAAAATGTTTCGAGAAATTTCTATGACATTTGAATCTCCAACAATTCCAGGATGCTTGAAATGTCCACCTGGACCTCCTGGGCCAAACGGACCAGATGGACCACCAGGAGAACAAGGTTTCGCAGGGTCGGTAGGAATCACTGGGCCACCTGGAGAAGATGGAGATATTGGTCTACAAGGTCAGCCGGGCGAACAAGGACCACCTGGGCCGCCAGGATTTGATGGTATATCTGGTCCTGATGGAATGTCTGGAACTACCTCGTTTCCAGGAGCACCTGGGCAGCCAGGAGAACCTGGATGGGCTGGGGAAACAGGCCTACCTGGTAAAGCTGGTGAGGCCGGTATGGATGGAAATCCAGGTGTTCCTGGTCCACCTGGGTTGCCAGGAAATCCTGGTCATGATGCATTCCCCGGGATGCCGGGACAGATGGGCAAGCCTGGAGATCCTGGAGAAGACGCTCATTACTGCAACTGCCCTCAGCGACAAGAGAAAGCAGACCTTCCACAGCTTGCCAGCCCACCGAATGACATTGGTTATCTCAAACGACGCATATGAGGGCAGCAATCAAGCTAACAGATAGTTCAAACAAATCTATCATGATGAGGAAATAAATATTTGTAGTCGTATTTCTTCGCAATTTTTAGACATTTCGAAACTATTTTCTGACAATCTTAACCCTTTTATTTACTGCCTTTTTCTTTTTAATGGCAGGGTATGTTGCGAAAATATACGAGTTATATTTTCTGACAATTTCTTACCCAGTGTTGTTTTTAGCATTTCCCAAAGTTGTTAAAGCATTTTAAAGCTTCCTAAAGCAGATATAAATGTTTATTTATACGGATGAGAAACTTCCCATTTAACATAGATAAACCGATTTATAGAGCGAAAAGTACAACAAAAAGGCGGGCGGGTTTGATAGGAGAGTGATTAGGCCGACGCGAGCTAATATCGACTCGCAACGAATGCGCCGAGAATTTATAGTGGTTGGCAACGGTGTTGTCAGAGGGATATTTTTTATCAGCTACCATGGACAATCATGAAACATACAACTACATTTGAAAGTATGAGCAATGTATGGAAGAAAAAATCTGAGTAACGGCTTCATGAGAAAAGTGGCATTTTAGAGAAAGAATTTTCCAATCACCTTCCATAATGGTATCTCGCAAAATACAATGCTGACATGAAAATATTACATAAACTATGAAGTCAGAACTTTTACTTGGAGGGATAGGAAATGGCAGTTAACTGTACCTGATGAGATACGAGCCAGTGCGCAAAGAGTGTTGCATTCATTCAGTGTATACCCAAAGTGCGAAAGAGTGCACATCTACCCAAAAACCCAAAGCACGCAAAAATAACGTCTAAAATGCATTAGATGCCGTAATACATAGCAGGAATGTATTTCAACCGGCTACAGAATTTATGAACCGGATTTTTTCGCATATGTCTCGTACAATCCATGTGCAGGAGACTTCTGTCCGTCGTGAAATTGCGTACTCAGTACAGCAAGACGCGTTACCCGTTAAGATATGGTGGTTACGGGTGAACTGGAAAAGAAGTATTTGTCGATACTTACGGCACAAAAGCAGTATCGCTTTTTGCTTCTTGCAGGATGTCCTTTTATGGAGTATCCCATAGACATTTCACTTTTCATTTATGATTGTTTATCCAGTTAGGTTTGGAATCGTGGTAGGACTAACTCTACTTTTGAGTGAAGAACGTCGAATGACTGATTGATTCTGTCCTCACCTTGAATAGCGCTTTCCATTTTAAAATATCCGCTGATCTAGGCGGTCGGAGTTTATCATGCAGCAGCACAGCACCTAGATCTCTGATGATTCCACGTAGAGTGTCCTGCCTGACCGGACACCGTGAGTCTTCCCAACAGCGAATTAGTCGAAGATAGGAGTCAGCCTAAAAGAATTCAAATTTATGGAGTGACTTACATAACAATTTGTTTAGAAACATGCCTTAAATGCTTATTAATTTGAATTTAATTAGGAACAAGTTGTTTTTGAATCGGTGGCATCAATACTGTGGTATACCTGGTGATTACCCTAGCACAAAAAGCACCATCAGGAAGTTTGATAGCACCTACTAGAGTCTCGTATTGGAACAATTTTCTCGATACTTCTTTACTTAATGTAATATACGTTAAGAAATACTTGCATCGTAGATAATCATTGCAATAGACTTGCGTTGAGGATCGGCTATAACATAATCATTGGAGGAATACGGTAGGACTGTAGACTTGTTTGTCACAATAAACATTTGAGTTCCTGTTGACCCCACCACTTCAATCGGGACTGCCCAGAGATCCGTCGTTTCTTGCTGAAACAAAGCTGGATTTCGGCCAAAATTTTAGAAAAGTGCTTTATTGCAATTCGTAGGTCCCCATTTTCTCTATATTCTTAGTATTAAGTGAAAAAAGAAAGAATGAGACCCTACTGCGTTGTCATACTAGATTTACTAAATATATTATCTCCGTGTGAACAGAATAAATGGAAAGCGAAATCGCCGAAACGTCAGCAATCGACCAACAAGAACAACAGCAACAACAAAAACAACGACAACGACAACGAAGACCCATACCAACCTTGCATCAGCTAAAGCAGATCAGTTTATAAGATCATATAGATAAATATATATCTTATTTACTTGATACTTGAACGGCCCATTCTCACTGGTTGTGCGGGCCCCAACACAATATCCATTTTTCGGAGATTTGCTGCTTAAGTCATTGTGGTTCCCTGAAATCCCGAGGTCAACCTGGCCAAGGTCTCCCTAGGTCTTCACCACCACAGGCAGTCGCTGCTCTTGTGGATCAGAGGGATATTTGCCACCACATGACTACGTTGATTCCAGAACGGTAGTTGATCCTGGTACTGCTTTACTTTTAGCTAGGCTTCTTGATGGAAACGCCGTGCGGTACATCGTAGTCCGACACCCAGGAACAGCTCCCAGCTACGATGAGGTGGTAAACTGTTGGGAGGAAATGTATATCTAGGCTATGAAATAACTTGCGAGAGCCTGCCAATGAACCATCTAAGTAGAACTCCGAACCCTACGCTGAGCTTCCAACTCGTGGTTACAATTACCGTGTGTTCGTGTGTTACCCACCACATCAGCCGAAACCTTCGCCTTAGCTTTCTCTCAGCCTTGTTTTTACTCGATCGTGGCTATCAAGAGTCACGCGTGAACGGGAATGATCAAAAAAGTACAAATAGGCAGTGAACCCAATCAATCAGTTGATGCTGTCGAAATTACATTGTTTCACAACGTACCCTGCCATTGAAAAAAGAATAAGCAGTTAATAAAAGTTAAACCATTGTGTATCAAGTGATTTTCCTCTTCGTCGTAGACAAACCCGTTGCAGATCTGCTCATCCTAGAAGAATTGATGGCTGGTTCGGTTTGCTCAGGCCGTAGGACCATGCACATCGCTAGTGCACTTATAAACGCTCCTCTACACACCTCCATATTGTCTAGTTCAACTATAACCTCACTAAGTAGAACGCCTATACCGCATTGGATAGAGGTGCCCAACAATATACACCACAGCACTGCAAGCCCTTCACTCCTCCCGCGTGAGCAAATTTGCACAGAGTTGTCTGAGAGGATCAAAACACTGACTCAATATATCCGGAATTCCGCTTCATCTGGCATTTTTAGATGTGATTGAATGCATATTTGGCCTATACAATGATTCACTACGGCCCACTAATGTATCGAGTCAGTGCTGATATGCTCTCAAGCAGATCTAGTACAAATTTGTCGACTCTGGGGGGATGGAAGGTTTGGTTTGGTCAGCCTGGGGAAGGGATCGAACCTATGTGTATTGCAGGAAGCCTCTAACCACTACGCTACACGCGCCTCATGTCACTATATAGCGCAGATATGCATTTAGTCATCTTTAACGTTTTTTATTGAAGTTGAAAACATGGTGCCCCTATGGATGAACCACCTCCGAACGCTTTATCCTGCAACCTTTTAATGTTGTCAATCACTTTGTAAGTCGAAGCGAGAGCATTAGAGTCCCAATTTTTTCGTGCCATACGCCAGAGCTGCTCAGCATCTTCCGATGGCTCGAAGGATACGAGAGGCACTAGGTTTTTCTTACAGGGCCCTTTATCTTCACTGTTTCTGGCGACAGAGGAACCTCGAGTGGCAAGTTCTGTAGTGACATAAGCTTATCCATACTTTCTAAATGTCGAATAGCTAAGCACAATGACCCCGTATCAGGCGTCGTACATCACAGTCGATATCCAGAAACATTTTTAAGTTAAAATTTTATCATATGCTCACTGAGATTATTACAGTGTGTATTACAGCATGACTATGACGAAAACGAAACCACCGGAACATTAACCAAATAAAATTTTTCGTATCAATTTTATATCCGCTAAATCAACTGGGAAATTATTGGCCACTCTTACCGAAGTTCAACGAAAGTCTGTTTTTAAGAAATTGTTGCATGATTTCTAAGTCACCTCGACTGTTATCGCTTGTGAAGTCACAGTTAGGAGTAGAACTGGACGAGTTTCCCTAGAGAACCACTGAGATAGCATTAACCCTAAAAAGCTGTGTTTGTTCTACAATGCAAATTTACTCGACATGGTCCTATATTTTTTAGAGAGCTTAATTATCGAAGATTTTAGTTACAGAACAATAATCCTTCCATCGGTTTACCGCCTTATCGTGGCTAGGAGGTATGCATGGGTGTCGAACTGCGATGTACAGCGGGAGAATCATCCCCTGGCAGGGTCACCCAAACTGAGAAATAGGGAGTCCGGCGTTTTCATCAAGAAGCCCAGTTAAAAGTAAACCAACACTAGGATCTACCACCGTCCTGGTATCAAAGTCATATGGTGTTAAATCTCCCTCTGATCCACAAGGGCTGCGACTGCCCGTGGTGGTGAAGATCTGGGGCAGACTTTGGCAAGCTGACCTCAAGACTCCAGGTGCCATAATGACTTAACCGGCAGATCTCCGAAAAATGGAAATTACGTTGGGGCCCTCATAACCAGTGAGGACGGGCCATCCAAGTATCAAGTAAGTTAGTATAACTTGCTGGGCTCCGAACGTGGGGCTGGGTATACTCACGGGTAGCTTGCCAGGCACTCCCGGAGTGGCCATGGGGCTTGATTGTAAGCTTTTGGCCGGATTGACTCGTAGAATACAATCTGCACGCGAGAGAACGCACCCACACACGCAAGCATGAATACACCTCATAAATAACAGAAATATGTGCCAGATCGGCGTAGCAGCAACAGACAGTCCACCAGTGGATCCATCTGCGTCTCATGGAAACAAAGGTCGCCTTTGGTTCGCGGTTAACCTCCTATCCGCTAGCTGGGGACGTGCTACGTAGCATCACGACTAACCGGCTCGAGATCCCTCATGAAAGGGAGTTCCGTGGACGTGCCGTGGTATGAGAATTAATCATTGAGGGACTGTGGTGAGCATCAGTGAACCTAATTTCACTCTCCACTGGAGCTGCTTCGTTGGCTCTGCTCGCTCAAAGGATGCGAAAACCTTGACAATTCTATTATAATG